CGCAACACGTACGAGGCATTATTTAACTGTTACACTCGTTACCTACTACAATATTACAGTACAAAACTTCGAGGCATTAAATAAAAAATTGAACATAAATTATTATACCTAAAATATTACTATTATAGATGCCTGTATAAATCTAAATATTATTAATACAATAATAGCCCTACCTACTACTAGCGCTTTATAGATGTGGTTTAAATATGTACTAATGAACCGTAACACTTTCGGACCGCGGACGGGCGTAAAATTGAGTACGGCGTTATCTAACCTGTATATCTTTAACCGTGGTCATTATGTCATTATCACTTTATTATAGTTTTTAATTATTTTTATTTTATATCGATAACACGTTATCAGTGTTATCCCTTATCACATAATGCTTGTGAATTGTAAAAATAAATATTTAAAATTTATCGCAGGAATTCTTGCCTCCTCACTCCTCAACATGGCTAAAGTATTTGGAGTCTTCAAGACTATAAGGAACAATTGGAAGAAGTCTGTGTTCTTCACCGCTGTTCTGTCATATGGTGCCAATTTCGCAAATGAAAAATATGAGTGAGGCCCTTACGATTTCAGTATTTAGTACTTAGTGATCTTTTTCAAAAAGGTTCTAATTAATCTACAATTTTTGTAGAGGTGATTTGAAAACTAGAAACATTCATTATTTAGGTTACACTCAGTTAAGAGTACCTACCTACATATTTTTGATTTCAATGATTTGTCACTGGCCAACAACTTCCTAAGATACCTCGTTCCTATGTTGATTGGTTTAGGACGTTTTGGTTAAACATAACTCATAAGCTTGAGGTTAAAAAACCAGTCGATATTTTTTGACAACATAACCTTTATTGCAATAACATAATTCTCCGATGTATAGCATTTGATATGTGTTCAAAATGAAGTTATTTTTTTTAGGACTCACATGTTTATGTCTCAGTGCTGTAGAACTGTTTCGGCCTATGGAGATATGCCATTGTCAGTAGACAAAAAACCGAAAAAAGTAACAGTTATATTGAATCCAGCGGCTAATAAAAGGTATTATTCAGTGGCATCTTATTCAATGGTACCGATCACCTAATTTATCTATGATAGATGTCATACTTAGTAGATTTTTTAGTCGGGAGGCCATCATTGTAAAATTTTAGATCAATACATTTATCGATCCGTCCAGAATCATAAATGTATTTTAATATTTGTCCTGCTATAGTGTAAAAAGAAATGATTAATCATTGTATTTAGTAGGGGTTTTGATTGACATCTAATTGTTAAATTTATGGTAGGGGCCCTTTGATGTAAGATGTCATTGTATATTTTAAACACGTCGGTGCCACTGATCTTATTTGTAAAACTATTTTGTTCTTAACATCATTATTATTCTTATTTGGTTTTATATTGTATTCAGAAACTCTAAATCTGATTTTGAAAAATATTGTGCTCCTCTATTATATTTGGCTGGTTACTCAGTTACCATCCTCACAACAGAACGAGAGGGCGGTGCTAGAAGTTTGGTAGAAAATTTAATCGGTGAAACAGATGCTCTTATTGTAGCTGGAGGTGACGGCACTCTATCAGAGGTATTTTTAAAATTATTAATACTCTCACAATAATATTATATTTAATTTAAAAAAGTTGTATTTTTACTAAAATGCAAGGTGTCGCCGAGCTCAGTCTCAACAACCCTTTATTATTATTAAAATTATTTCTTGATTAAAAAGCATCAATTATATTATATTTCTATTACTTCTCTACCTGATTTTTTTTCTAAACAGAAAAATCTACATAGCTTAATATAAGTTATACCTAACTATTAAATGTAAAAATTAAATAATATAAAATATTGACATCAATTATTAGCCTTACAAATTGGGCATCCCAGGTTCTTAAATTGTATAAAAACTATAAAAACCAAAATATTAAATTTCTTTAATTAGGTTAAACATGGTGATATTTTAATAATTTACCAATGTCTTAGGAAGTTTAAGGAATTAATAAAAAAAAAATATATTAGTAAACATCCTATTTGACTATTTCATAAATAAAACACTGTGATGAAGTTTGAGATTTAACACGTTAAAATTAACAATCACCCAGCCGAATAATACTCAAATTGAATTTATATTTCATATTTATTTATTTTGACTAATCATTCTACATAATGTATACAAGTAGAAATAAAAAATAAATTGCTTTCCCCATCATTTTGAGGGGAGGAATGAGATTTTTGAAAGTTTACTTTACAAGATGGGTATAGAATAAAAATTGTGGGTTACACTTCATCCTTATCTCAACTGAAACTACTTAATCTGTCTAGTGTTTACTATCATTTCCAGAAACAGACATCTCTAGGTACATTTTCAAAACTATAATTAAGCACCTATTAGTTATAAAATACAAAAAGTACAGTTTATTATCAATAATAAAATTGAAATAGTAATTGTATAATTTTGTTGCAGGTAGTAACTGGATTGTTAAGACGTTTAAAGGGTGATACATCTCTCACAGAACATTTACCGATTGGAATTTTACCGCTTGGACGCACAAACAATGTCGCTCGACAATTGCTACAACCCCAGGATGACAACCATGTGCATTTTCTTACCAACGCAACTATGGCTATTATTAATGAGGTTAATTCTGCTCATCCTGTTGTAAAAATTGAAAATTTGGAGGTTATTATTGTTAATTAGTTTTTGATCTAATTTAAATTATAAAAATTTAAACTTACCTCAATTATTATATAGAGTCCAAATCCAGAAAAGTGTGTCTATGCTTTGAATAGTATTGAATGGGGTGCATTAAGAGAGGCCAAAGTGACCCGTGATCAGTATTGGTATTTTGGTAAATTAAGAAATTTTGCTGCTTTTGTGTTTGGCAACCAATTTCTCCACTACACAGTAGATGCTGAATTAGAATACAGTCCCCCGTGCTCTGGTTGCAGTAATTGCTATAGTAACACTGCCATCAATAAATCCTCTAGTTTATTTTCTTGGATAAGTTGGGTTTTTACATTTAAAAGAAATTCTGGTGAGTACCAAATGCTAATTAGTATATCAAAATATTGATTGGCAATCTTTAAAAATGTTGTTTGTTGTTGTAATTACAGGTGGTACAGATTATTCAAAAATAACCAATCCCGAATGTAGTAATTATTCAAAAGTTCCAATCAGAACTTTTAATGTCAATATTAATTTAGATGTCAAAGAGACACCAGTTTTAAGAATAAATGTTGGTCCAGAAAATATTTCTTACTCTGAATTTGTGAAGGAAGGTTATTTAAAATTTAGAGACGAAAATAGTAAAATTCAAAATTCCATTATAGAAGCTAAAGATGTGACAGTAACACCTCATGTTAACGATGTATTACCAATATTTATTTAATTCACTAATACTGTGTATAGTATTAGTTATGTATAAATAGTTAAATTTTTATGTGTTTTTTAGGAAAATAAATGGCTGTCTATTGATAATGAGGATTACGAAGTTAAGCCAATGAAATTATCATTATTACCAAATGCGGTATATTTATTCAAGCCTGACAATTCAATAAATCAAAATCAGTCTCAAAAGAAAAGTGATCAAGAATCAAGTTTGTCATTAGATAATTTTAGAAATCACATTGGCTTAAAACAATTTATTTAATTAAATGTTTTTAGTGTGGACTGAAATATATTCATACACTTATTATGTACATTATCTTGTACAATTCTTTGATTGTTCAATTTGTAAAACTAGGTACATAAATTCTAATATATTATAAAACTTTTTGTTATTAAAAGTATTTCATAATCTAAGAAAAATTGCAAAGAAAAAAAAATTGACTAGTTAGCTATAGAATTAATACAATTTTTATATTTGGAATTAAATGTCCCTAAAAGAGCCAAGAGGTTGGGCATTAGCATGTAATTCTGCTTCACAGTTGCAAAAGCCCCTTTTAAAAGTTGATGCAGTAACGTCAAAGTTGAGCTCTTCAGCTGGCCACTGCCATCCAGTACACTATTTAGTATTTATAAATTATGTTAGTTTTAAAATTGAAATAAAACGGTTAGCTATAACCTATAGGTTAGCAACTGCCAATTTGTTATCTATAATGCTCAATTTTTACATCATAATGTACCTACAATTTCTAAATGACTGCAATATAGGAATGAAAATGATTCATTGTTTTTAGATTGTATGTACACTTAAATGATATTTTGATATTAAATAAAGGTAGTTATTTTTATTGAACAAATTAAATTGACTATTTTTAGCATTTTATCATGCCTCCTTGGCGTTGAATTGTTTAATAATTTGTTCCATAAAGAAGTATTAAACTAATATTAATTTAGAATAAAGAAATTAAAAATTATAGTTGTACCCTAAAAAAATGTATATACATACATATTGTGTAATCAATACAGTATAATTAATAATAATTTTATCATAAAAATCATATCTACTATAGTTGTGAAAACTATTGATCATTGAAAGTTTTTGAAACGCTGTCGCATTGAGTCTAGAGATGTCCCAAAATTATATCTCTGTATATTTACTAAGCAGATAATTATATAATAAATGTTTTATAATTTATAAATTTATCGTTAATTGTTCATATAGTTAATAATTTGAGAATAGATCATTATAATATTATATGTGCATTATGCATTATATTTCTTTTTAAAAAGTAATTTGTTCATTTTTCGTTCTCAATAGTCGATCTTTATTCTTAGTTGACAATGAAACTTGTTCCACTTTTAGATTTTAGTTACTTATTCAAAATACCAACTATTAGATTGTGTATTTAAAAACTGAAAATGTTTAAAAATAAAAATAACTAATTTACAATAAATGCCAAAGTACCTATTATGAAAAATAATAATTCCATGATTTATTTTTAAAAAAAGTTCTTCCAGAAATCTATTTTTCAAGCAAACAGCTACCTCACTGCCCAAGGAAACTTACTGATTGGAGTTTTTTTAGATATAGACAGAAAGTTGGTTTGAATTTCGACTACCAAATATTTTCACATTAAAATGGTTTTTTTTTTCAATTGCAGATGGGCAGTAGTGAAATCTACAAAGTTTCGGTTAGTGAATTTCTTTTTTACAATCCTAATAATGTTTTGCATAAAAAATTGATTATATTCAATGGGTCACTAAATTGTAATGGACCAATCATGGGCCACTAAATCATGTTTAAGGGACCATTAGCTCACTATTGATTCATTAAATGTTAAGTATGAAAAAGTAAATAAAAAAGATAGTAAATGTAAAGTATTGAGAGTAATTTTTGTTTAAACAAAATCCATGGGGTTCATATGACCCCATATCAGATTATTACTCTTTGCCCCATACTACCCTATTATAGGGCTGCATAACATAGACTATAGAGTCATGGTCATCACTCATCGTGCGAATGTCTATATGGTATAAAATTAAAAACCACTATGCATGCAAAGGGGGTAAATTTTTGTAATGGTGTTAGGGGGTAAATTCGTTAAGCGGTCAGAAGACCACAACCCCACCAGTCACCACTACTGAGGTATCTATAAAATGACACGGAAATGTAATATTCTTCTAAATGTCTCTGTGAATCAGCACCTAGTTTCAATACCGGGAAAATTATTGTATAACCCCTTCCGAAAAATGACTAGCGAATTTATTCTTTTAGCAGTTATTACATTTTCTTAATTATTGAAAATAATTTATAATAAACGTTATATTAAAATTCTGGTTCCACTGACCACTACCTACCCATCGTCTTCAGCACGAAAATAAACATACAATGGGATAATAAAATCACGGTTGATGTAGGTAAAACTAATTTTAAATTAGGTAAGTCGTAGGTACGTATATAAATGGCTAAATCATTTTTTTTTTTTTTGTTTACTTGAAAACAAATGCCTCGGCAACTATGGGCCATTGCCCATTGGTTACAATAAATTACATAATTAAAAAAATATTGGCTAAATCATTGTGTGAAATGGATAGGTACATTTAATATTTATACGTATTAGATGGGCGATCACACTATGTAAATATATTCCTTATTCCTGAAGAAATTTCAGCTGCATTATTTTTGTTCCCCATAGTGGGCACACAGGCGGTAAGATTAGGTTAGGTAGGCGATATGATTGATACTATAAACAAAAACAAGTAAAATACATATGAAAGTAAATGGGTTTCGATTTAAATATCTTCAAATGACCTCGCCTCGATGTAGCGGTCCCATGGTGTAATGGTTAGCACTCTGGACTCTGAATCCAGCGATCCGAGTTCAAATCTCGGTGGGACCTTGGACTTTTTTTGCATTTTTTCCATACATATAAGTTTCCTTTTAGTTGTTCATAACTTCACAAACTTTCTTTTACCACCACTGTTGTCTGTAGATATTCGTTTCTTGTGATATTTGTGATTACCGGGTTACGACTTGCGTCGTTACCTATCGTCTATACCAGTGGTGCGCAACCATTTTTGATCCACGACCCCCAAAATTACTTATTTTGGTAATACGACCCCCCTTCCTACCAACATTATGTAAGTGAATAGTAAATATTTACTTCGTAGTCTTAATGTATACAAACATATTTTCATATAAATTAAAACGTTAATTTTAATATTTCTTTAATTTAATTAATCCAAAACATGAAAAAAAATACAAAATTAGAGTTATATAAAATCTAAAATTAAAAAAAACTGAAATTATTATAATGATAAACAACATTTTAATATTTTTTAAATTATGAAATTACTAATAAATTATTTTAATGAGAAATCTGAGCTTGCATTATAGACATGATTGATTCTATGTTTGGTTTGATATTTGACACTATACTACTCTTAAATCAGCTTCAACATTTTATCTGGAGTGATATTTGTTTTTAATTATCGCAATTGACACACACATTGACCAAGGGAATAGTAATACATAATTTTTTCATTTGGTGTAAAATTATTGGCGACCCCCGAATAAAATTTCACGACCCCCTTAGGGATCACAACCCTCAGGTTGCGCACCACTGGTCTATACCTATGAAGTAGGACGACCTAAACGGATAATTATATTGTGAATGTCAGAAACCAGCTGTTTGGTGAAACCATCAACAATCCCAGCCATTAAAAATAAATTTATTTGTACAATTTATCTAGAAACAACACTATGCCAGCCAGTTCAAGTGTACAGAGGCTGAAAATAGTTTTGGAAAATTTACTAGACTGAAATATTATACCTTACATTATTATACCCAATACGGCCATTTATACCTACCTACACAATACACATATCACATATAATATTTACTAAAACACCAAACACCACTGGTGGGCGACAGCACCCGACCTACATAATATTAAATACATGAAACACGATACGGTTCTGCGGAAACCCATCAGCATATACTCCACGACGTGACTATATTCCTGTGTTAAGTTTAAATACACAACAATTCACCCAACGACCCAAACGGGACACGGACGAGATGAGTCAATAGCTGCTAAATCGTTACGGTAAGTATACGTTTAAATTGCTATTTTGTTGGTTCCATTTCCATATCTTGAACCATTTGTTGTTGGCGATTTATTTTATATATGTTTTTATGACGTCGTAAATTAGTCTTTATATGTACCTGTGTTATTCTCTATTACATATTTTTACTTCAAATAAAAATAGCTTTTTGCAGTGTTTCAAGTGAAGTTATTCTAATATTTGGGATTTAAGTTGAGAAACTTGAGAGGACGTTACACCTACGCTGTGGTGGCGTACACGGGGGGGGGGGGGGTGTTCAACTCCCAATTATAATTGTTTTCACTGTACATAATATTATTCCCACCCACCACCCCCTATATTTTGTTTTCTAAATTAGAGTTCGCAAAATCTTAATAATATCCAACCAACGTGAAATTAGTCGGATTAACATTTGTCAAATAATTATACATTTTATAACTTATTTTTGTCAAAGGTAATCCGATTGTAAAAACACTAAAAACTAAAAATATTCATAGTATTTATTGAGACTTGTATTTGCTACATGGAGTAATACTACCATTACTCTATGATTTGGCATTTGCTATACCTGCACGACTGCACGGACTTTATTACCACGAAGTATGAATTAGGATAATATATCGATACCAGTGACGTGGAGTCGGTTTCGAATGAAGTGAAACAATGGTACATACTAATTTATCCCCTCAAGGACCCAATTATTACTCTTATTACTCCCTAAAATATAATAATAATATGATTAAAAGCAAATTAAAATATTTTACACTACAAAAAAGAAACAATATTTGATACTGATTCTGAATCTGAGCATATCTTATTGTTCAACTTATGTGTTTTGACCAAAATATTATTTCTTAAGTGTTATCGTGAGATGAATAACTCTAAAATAATTAAAGTAAAATTTGTGAAAAATCTATAAAAATAATATTTTTTTTGGTTTACTTGATTAAATTCATTTTTTGTGGACCTAAGCTAAGCCATTCCCATCCAGCATCCTTTATTATGATCATTATAATTTACAGGTTGTAATTGTTTCTCAAAGAACCCTACTAAAATAATATCATGATTATTATTAATATTTTTTAAATTTCATTCGCGTAAACTATAAAAATTAGTTTTATTAATATAACCACTGTGTTTGAATTAGTGTCTATTGTTGGTAATTTTTTTAAAACAATTAAACATTCTTCGAGAGGGTTAGATCTGTATAGCTGGGTCTTATACTTTAAGAAGGTTTATATTTTTTAGTTTTACGTGCATTATTGCCGTAGCTAGGGCAATGTAAAAGCATCCTCAGCACCCTCAACGGCCTCAAGTTCAAATTTAGCACCTCTTTTTTTTATTCTTTCGTCTAACTATTATTACTATTATTATTATAATGAAATACCATCAATTTTACGTTTTTAAATTATAAAATGTTTTCCGTAAAATTATTATTAAAAATTCTGTCATTATATTAGTTCGTTTTAAGTTAGTAAAGGGTTAATTTTACATTTAAACATGAAACAAGTTTAGCTACAATACAATAAATTAAATATTAAAATGCAGTAATCATCTTGATTTACTTCTGTTAGTTTTTGCTGTGGTTGTAACTTTGTAAGGTATAGTTAGTCATACACAATAAAATAGGTGTATAATATTATTATAAATTTATTGCAACTATTATAAATTGTTGTAGAAATCATAGGTGGTATTGAAAAGAATATTTTTATTTGAATGATGTAAGCAGTGGACGCTTAATCATTTTATGGACTTGAATTGTGTAAATTCACATATTTTGACCCACCGCTGTAAGACGATTGTAAGTATATAAATAAACAATAAAATAAATTATGAACATTGTCCGTTGTCCGTTTGCTTATAAAATTAAATAAATAGCATCCTCTTCAGGACGGTTCCATGGTGTAATGGTTAGCACTCTGGACTCTGAATCCAGCGATCCGAGTTCAAATCTCGGTGGAACCTTGGTTTTTTTTGCAGTTTTTTTAAATATCAAACTCACTAGTTTGGTTTCTTAAGTTGAAAAGTGTATTTGGTGCTTTTTGTATGACTAAAAATCTGAAAAATATTAAAATTTTTAAAGTGGAAAGATATTTATGATAGTAAAAAACTAAATTAGAAGACCGAATAGTACATGCAAAATAAAATGTACTTAAAAACAATACCTATTGTTTAATATTAAATTCAGTCAATTCAGACTTCATGGACTTTTTTGAACTGGGGCTCTAACAGTAAATTTTGTACGCTGTATACTAATTGTCAATTGAGCCCAATACCCGAGCGGAAAAAAAATAATATGCTAAATAATTTAGTATTAAATACTGTGGTCCGGCTGTATAGACGAGAAATATACAAATTGAGTCGGTGGTTAGGAAACCAAGTTTATGCCATTGAGTTCAACGATTATTTTGAGTAAATTATAAAATCAATTATAATATACCTACGTATATGGAGACGACGTTAACCTTTTATATTTTTTTTATGATTAAAGATAATATAACAACATATCAACGCAAATATAGGGCTGGAATTTCGGATTTTATTTGCACTGTCTCGAGTATAATAATTGCCGTCTAACGGTATCATTATATTATTATATACTCTAGTTTATTACAAGGTACCATGGATGAAGTTAATATTAAGTGAGAGAATTACAATTTTTTTTGATCGATGTATACACATTTTGTTTTCATAAACATTTTTTAGAAAATTTCCAAGGAGACGTTTTTTTTTTTTTGGGGGGGGGGGGGACTAAGTTAATTTTAAAATATGGACTCAATTAGTATACTATACTGTTGTACCTAACATTTCAAGGGACTCAATTTGTCTTATAAGGTTTTATTGATACTCAGTTCGTATGCAGCCAATATCTACAGTTCAGTAGGAGCAGCAGGCGATAGATAAATATGCAGTTGGTATAGATTAATTTTTAATTTTAATTTTACTAGATCTGAAAGAGAAAAATGTATAAGTATTTTTTATATATTACAAGTTAAACTGAAAAACCTGGAAAACCCTTTTTTTTCGAAAATTGCGATAGTCTCAATGAACATTAAATGTAATTCAATTTTAAAATACTGTTTTTACTAGGTATTTATAAGTTCTAGATAATAATTGGTAATAAACTGTACATTGTACTCCTACTATATTTATGGGTCATTGGAAAAGTCTTTGTAAGACATACAAAGTAAGTAAACTCGTTATGGTCAAAATGTAACTATTTTATCATATATTTAGCTTAAAAAAACATAAAACAATTTAAAAATAAAACTGGGATCTCACTCTGCTGTATAGTAAGTATAGGTGTTGAGTGTAACTCTTCATTGAGCATGGTACTGTTATAGACGTAATTGTATTTGATTGATTCACTGTCTACGAAAAACTGTTCTAACTTCAAACGCTAATAAATACTTACCAAATGTGACGCTAGTTTATTTTGTAATTTTAGTGATCAATACTTTACTAGAAGTCATGTAGGTATTAAATTTTAAAATTTTAGATGATAAATAAGATAATGTTATAAATATTTAATTTAAAAAATAAATTTAAACCTATTATCATGATCATGATAAAATACGAATCAATTTGAACTTAAAATGTTTTTAAAAAAAATACAGGAAATTTACAACTATAATAAATACAAAAATTGTTATATTTGAATAGAATGTACATTTTTTTAATTAGCTAGTGTTGTTATTTGGTAGTTATGTTAATTATGTGCTATATAATAATAATAATTAAACAAATGACTAACGACGGTATCTATATAGTTAATTAAGTGAAAAAAAGCACATGTTTGTCATTGTGTTATATTACTGTTACCTTATATTATAGTGATTAGTGTTATTTGTACAAATTAATAGTATAAGACAACTTAAGTCATAACATGTATATAATACGTTGAAAATATATGATATTAAATAATTTTAATTTGAAGAGCATTTGAAATATATATTAATTGTCATACGAATGAGCGATTAACGTATTATTTATACCTAAATAATAATTGTATAGTATTTATACAATAAGTTATTATTATTATTCACTATGGCCTGTCAACAACTAACTACAGTTTGCATTTTTATTACCACATGTCAAATGGTAAGTAAAATATTTACCCTGTAAAGTGTAATTCTCTTTTTTTCATACATAAAAATATTATACATTATGAAATAAAATTTAGTTTCAGGATATAATCATTTTTTTTTCCTTGTGGAAATAATTCCAATTACAAAAATAAAATAGCTGTACAATATGTTTATATCGTATACATAATTTGGTGGTTTTGGTAATGTTTAGCTTCCCTACATACTTAGTAGAAACAGAAAATTGTTATTACTGTTATTAGTATATACTATATTACGTCAAAAACATTCGAGTACTGTTATTTGGTGAACGGTCACCCAGATCTCTGTCTAACTAGAACGGACTACAGAGTCAATTACTGCGAACCCGAAGTGACTTTTCTGATTGTTTTATAATTTTATAAATTTATTTTATTTTATCATAAATAATTATAATATTTTGTTAAAATAAATGGGTATAAAGTGAAATAGTAAAATAATAAATACTAAACTAATATTTTATAGGTTTGTAAATTAATAGTTACGCAGTGCTATGAAGGAGTATGATTGATGAGGTGTGAGGTGTATGTCAGCGCAGACGGTTCCCATCATAGCCCATAGGAGGACATTTGGTTGAATGTGTAGGGGGGCTAGATTAATTCAATCAAAATAATTCAGTAGTAATTTTAGGTTGGCTACAAGCCTTTCTAAGCCTCCGGATTTATATGCATTTAAAATTTTAAAATATGCATGCAAACATGCACTAAAAAAAGTCAAAATATGCAAGAAAAAGATGCAAAAGATGCAAAATAAAATTTCAATTTTTATTAAAGTTTATATTTGATTTAATTTTGCAGTGATAATTATTCATTAGTTTTATTAAAATTTGCATAAACAAAAAGTAAGATGTATAATACGTATAACAAATAAATAATACAATAATATAATTTAATTTTTAATCATTTATACATTGTAAAAAATATTTTATTAAAATTAAATAGTAGATACATTGGTGATATTATACTGATATAGTGATATAAAGAGGAAAAAAGTACGAACAATTTAATGTAGTATGTTAATTGGAAAAACAATAACCTAACCTATTTTTAGCGTCCAAATATTCTTTGAGATGTAAAATATTTGATATTTGTACGATCGCGGAACTGTTTTTTCGGCATGGTTGTGGATTTTTTTCCGTCCAAACTTGAAGAAATGAACGTAGGGGAAGTGTGGTTTCAATAGGATGGCGCCACGGTTCACACGGCAAGAAGGTCAATGAATATCTAGCGTGAACACTTTCCTGGACGGCTCATCTCTCTTAGAGGTTATCTTCAGTGGTCAGCATGATTGCCGGATTTAGCCGCACGCGATTTTTTTCTGTGGGGCTACCCTAAATCGTTGGTATACAGGGATCGTCCAAAGACCCTTCGTCATCTCAAAAACAATATTCGTGCTGCTATTGCCGACATAAACACAGATATGCTGGAAAAGTGGACAACAATTTCAAATTCCGACTATCTCAGTGCATTGACGAGAACGGTGGCCACCTTCGAGATGTCGTTTTTAAAACCAAATAAAATAAAACTTTAAATGTACCCCTATATACAGAAAACAATAATTAAATCAATATTACTAATACTTTTTGTGTTATGATTTTATAAAATAAGAAAGTAACCACGCCCCGCCCTGTATTAAATAAACGTACCTATAATCTGTTTTTTTTGCTCAACGCCTTTTTAATCCGTTAGGTGTATATTTGTTCGGTTTTTCGTTAAAATATGAACAAAAATATGCAGAACATGCACTGACGTCAGAATATGCAAAAATATGCATTATACAATTTTGATATTCAATCAATCAAGTAATGATTTGTGGATACTCGTGCATGTTTATGATGTTGAAAATAGCAACATGCATTTTATGCGAAATCCGATCTTCACTTATAATATTGTATCTGAAATTCTGAACATTATAATATCTTGTATTCCACAGGTATATGGGCCGCTCACAAGAAGTCAAGGCCTCTCTCTCTCTAATTACCGGGCACGACTTAGGCGCAACAGGGGTCAATGGATGGTACCACCGAAAGGCTTCAAAATAATGAGTAGGCGAGCCGTCCATAATAATTTTCCGAGGAATTCGTATAAGATACAGTCATTACCGAACGCTATTAGGAACAGTAATCGCGGGTCGTCATCACCGTTAAGGACCGTAAAAAAGATCATCAAAAGGGTCATTAAAAGGAGGTAGATTTAAAAATTTGTCCAAAGATGACGACGATGTCGGCGTACACTAGAGTAGTGTACTTATTTTAATAAGTGATCTTGAATTTTGAACATATATTTTATAACACCGCAAAGGTTTATCAACAAAAGAGCCTATTTGTTTGAAACCAATACTAAACGAGAATTATCTTGCAGAATAATAGTACTATATATGAATTTATGCAAGTAAAAATGTAAAGTATGACATTATTAATAAAAAATCTTATTTAATTATTTGTATTTATATTTTTATATTATAATACTTATTTGGGCAATTAGGCATAACCATAATTTACATACCTATGATCTATTATTAATGTTTTCTTTAACATCAAAAATAATTATTTAAGTACTTAAATTTGTGTATTATTGATTTGAGTTTGTATTAACCGATCCGTTGTAACTTAATGTATGTTCTTTTGATTTCAATTTTAAATTAGTGGACTCTATGTTAAATAGTCTTCAACACTGTTAGTATTTAATACAACAAAAGATGAATACAAATAGATAATAGTATTTTAATAATTATTACTCAATAAAATAAAACTAAAAATATAGATTGTATAAATATTATTAAATTGTTTGGATTAAAAAATGAAAATTTTAATTTAAGGGTATTTGTCACTCATTTTTTCCGTCTAGCACCTAGAACAGTATAATATGGTTAAATTCGAATTTATACCCATCCTGACTATTTAATTAAAATTAGGCTACGTGAAGCACTGAACCTATGTTATATAATACATTTTATAAAATAACATAATATTACGGCTGTTATGGCCAGATATTTATGTTAGCAAATTAAATTTGAAATTTGAAATTTTTAGTTCATAGTTGAATATTTAAAAATAGTTCAAAATTAAAATATCAATCTTAAGATCAACATTTTATTGAGGCGTAAGACAATGTTTTGGTCAACACAGAGATAATATTTTGCTCTGTGCAATATAGCTTTTAAATATTTTATGATACAAATCTTTTTTATCTATATATCTAAGGTGTTTGATTTCTAAAAAAATATTTATCAAAGAACATATTACCATGGTATACATTTTAAATTTTGCTCAACGCACATTTTTCTCCTCAACTGTATTACATGTCTAAATATTTGGCTAAACGATTATGTATTGCCGCATGTTATACGTATAGATACGCTTGGCATCAAACGATTTGTAATCCATTCTTTTTTTTTTTTTTTATTTATTTACAATAAGGTACTCCTAGCTTACGCTATCTATACTTAGGGATGAAAGATAAAGTACATTTTGGCGTGTTAAGTGCGATAAATAATTAAGTTACAATTTTACGTTAGATGATAACAGTAGTTAGAGAATGAAGTTAGATAGTGTCTTGAGGAATTAGGTCATGCGGGCGACCACGTTTGAGACGGCGCTGTGGAGGTGGTCTGATATTGATGTGGTAGTGCATTGAGCCTGTTGTAATTCCTTCTTAAAATCTGATATTAAGCAAACAGCAGTTATATTATGTTAAATTTAATAGATAATTATTATTTGAAAATAATCAAAGTTTTTATATGTCCTCATATGCATCAATTATTTTCAACTAGTCAATAGTTGCACAGGAATATATTTTGAAAGTGGAAACGGAATTCGTATTAGACTTGTGTTTATAATTTATATCCATCAAACGTTTTTGATTTTTTATCACATCAACTTCAATGTTTTTAATTTGAACAAAAACTATGCACATATTATGAACGTTTTAAAATCTATAACTTGTCTAGAATGATCAGTTAATCTTCACAAATAAACAAAATAGTGAACAATTATATGTTTAGGAAGTGTATGTTTATGTACATTGTACATGTATATTATACTGCAATAATAATTAAACAAATGCGACTGACGGTACCAATAGTACCTATAGTGTAAAATCAAAGAGACATGTTTGCCATAGATGTACATAAGTGTTATTTGCACAAATGAATATTATCGAGACAACGGTAATCATAATAAATATATGCGTATAATATGTTGAAGATATATTGAATCATTTTGATTTAAAGTGCATTTATTAATCGTTTTTCAAATGGGCGATTAACGTATTACCTAAATAATAATAATTTTCATAAGAATATAAATAAGTGATCATTATTATGCACTATGAGCTGTCAACAACTAACTGCAGTGTGCATTTTTATGACCACATATTATCAAATCGTAAGTAAGAAAAAGATCTAAGTTCCAATAATTTACTTCTTTTCATATAAAAATATTATATATGAATTCAAATTTAGTTTCAGTATAATATGCAGTCCTTTAATTTATATTGAATTAATTCATTATTTTTAACGAAGAAAATTTTTTTTATGTAATTATGTACCTAAGTTATGATAAATAGTTATGATATTGCACAAAACGTTTAAAAATATTATATGACTGCAGTTTAATTTGGACGTATTATTTTATTCGACCAAACGGTTTATCATAAGATATAAGATAAATTTTATTGTTCGAATATAATTAAATATGATTAATTATGCACAAATAATAATGATAAAAAGCGGATAAGTGGGTAACGATCTCCTGTACTTTAGGTGTCCAGGGAGTCACTGCAATAAATGTGCTAAGTTTAAATTAAATGACATAAAATCATTGTGTACGAAAAACTATTCTGAGCAAAGATGGTTTGTCAGCCTACAATATTACTAAGCCGGTATATTTTATGATATTATTGTGATTAAAGTAATTTATTTTACTACGCACCAAGGATAGTAGGCATTAGTGGACTATAGTATTCATTTTTATCGAAAAAATTGAATTTTAAAATATCATTGTATGTATGAAATATAACAGATTACCTGCTCTAAAAGTTTCAAGTACCTACGAATAATATTTTTAAATTACAACAAAATAACTTAAATCGTTATTCTTGGTTAATTAATATGCAATCTCGTCCAAATTTTAACATAAAATAACTATGAAAAACTGTGCTTGTATATTTTTTTAGATTTTTAGTCACAAAATAACTTACTTACGTGGAACATTATTTTACTTTTTCAATCCTTAGATATAAAATTTAAACATTATATGAATATTTTACAAAAAAATTTGTCAAAAATGTTCACTGCCTATAAAATCATACGTATGTATTTTTATATTTTTCAACTGCTGCCTGCTGTTTTAACAATACATCAAGAATGTTTTGTTACATTTTAAAGCCTTTTGACTCAACAAATTAACTTTTATTGACATTTACAGCAAAAATACCTAAATAAATAACCTAAAGGACGTAAAACTTAAAATATCAGTTAACAGCCCAAAACAAATCAAAATATTTTGAAAATGTTGTCAAGTCTAGAAAATGATGAACTAAACATTTGGTATACATTTCAAGTATCTACAGTAATTTGTTATTGAATTACAACAAAATAGGGAAATCGTTAAATGAGAAATCAAGTGAATATTCAATGCATTGTAAAAATTTGAACTTTAAGCGCTCATAAAAATTTAATTTGACTCCCGGTAGAATTTTTTTTAGATATAGGTAGACAAATTTATGAGGAATCTTGAATACAATTTTCAAATTTCATAAATATAAAAATAAACATGAATTTCTTACTCAAAATAATTTTGCAAATGTTTGTATTTTTACGAATTTTGTCAAAATTCGAACTTTAGATCACTCATAACAAATTGTTGTGAATCACGTTTAAATTTCACGTTTTTCCTTAATTTATTTTTCACGGCGATTTTGAAAACAACTAGGGTCTTATAATTTTACCTCCATAATGCACCAACTAATAACTATATTCGCTTTACCACCAGGAAAGATACTGAAGTTGAAAATCGAAGCATAATTTCGATTACGAGTACATAGACACCAATAAAAAATAAAACTAACATCTATGTAAAATCAATAAATTCACAGCTCCTCTCAGACTCTAAAATATAATGGTAGGTATTAGGTTTAATGACGATTTCACGAATTAAGAAACTTGTACACGATACAAGTTACCATATGCAGGTTTTGTCTAAATAAGATTAGTCACAACTAGGTTTATCGGGCAAAAGCTGAAATATGACTTATGTTCAAGCATATCTAAGATTTGTCTGATTTCAGCTTTTGCCCGTAACGTAAATACTTACTCAAGTGCAGGCCTTTTCTCTTCATCGTCTCTGTGACTCTTTTGCTGTGTATACATCGATAGCATAATGTTAGAAACGCTCAAACGCGTTGCCAATCTGTACACGTTGAATACAATATTTCAAATCAACTATACACCTTACATGTGGTCCAATGTACATGCCTGAATGTATATTATACTTTAACATTGTACTGTCTCCTAACCCACAGGCATCCGGGCAATTGTCATTTATTCAAAGGCTCGCTTTGTCGCGTAACTACCCACATTCCTTGGTGAACCACGGAGTGTTGAGGCGACCCCCGACTGGCTACCACTATGAGTCGAGAAGACACATCATTGATACTTATCCCAGCAATTCGTATACTATAAAATACGGTCTATCGCACATTGTGGGAAGCAACAACAATAATGGTGGGTCAAAACCGTCAAAGGGTGGACAAAAAAAGCCCAAAAAAGGGAAAAAAATGAAGAAATCTGATGACGAAGAAGAATTGGATGGTGACACCTCTTCGCCTTCCAAGGATCCACCACCTAAACCAACTGGTAGTCCGACAACCGGGACTCCACCTACAGCCGGTTCTCCACCTCCTCCACCTCCTCCACCTCCTCCACCTCCTCCACCTCCACCATCGACGTCTGCAGCATAGTGTGCGCTCTACAGCCAAAGTACTAAATGGACGGACGGTAGCGATGGTGTTGGAGTATTATTATCAGCCTTACAAAAATTATAACATGCAGTTTTTTTAAAAATAATTTATCTTTATGGTTAATAAAAGAAGTGACAATACATTTAATAGTAAATTTAACATACATATAAACAATTTAAGAAAATAAATAAATATCAAATATCAATAACAGAGCTAACAAGTTATTTAAATAGTAGTAAGTAATAAGTATAGCCGTATAAGTATATCAATATCACACATCTTTTTTTATTTGGACATCCACGGGACTGCGTCTCATTCCAGAAATTAGAGACTTTTCATGACTTCTGCGAAAGAATGCAGTCTTGGGCAAGGTGGTTGATAAACTATACTATTCCATCGTCCTCACACAACTTCAAATCTACCAAGTTCTATTTTGCTATTACGTAATTGGAACTTCACTGCAACGAATGCAGTATTACAATAGTTCTGTAGTATTCAGTAGTATTGTACCTTATTATACCTAATCGTTTCAAATTTGGCCTATACGTATGTGTGTGTTTACCAGTGGTGTATAAAGGAATTAATTTCTTGTGAGGGGGGGGGGAGAGGGAGGTTGAACTTGTGTGCAACCCCTCACCCACCATATATACTGCTTGTCTTTAAAAATGTACCCAATATAAATAATTATATACTATCCCACGTATAGATACCAATAATGATTTGATTTCGTTCTGTTTCTTACTGCATAATTTATTATAGTAATAACTAATATTATGTTTAAATTTGCAATATACTCGTAATAATAAGGAATTAGAGTGTAAAATCACGTATTTAAATATTTAGCGTGAGACTAGTTACCTGTATACAATTTTGTCATTGAATTAACTTTAAAATATTAGTTTTTCTAATAAAATACTAGTACCTATGCATTTATTTCGACTAGAGCCATGAGTAAAATGTAAATCAACTCCAAGCTTTCTCAATAGTGAAAATCGATACTCCATATTAATACATAATATTATTGTTATATTATATGAACACTAATTTGTCAATCGTTAGAGCGTTGTGTATTTATAGATTCATCTTGAAATATCTATAAACATATTATTAAAATATCTACCAGAGCCGTCAGGCGTAGCGAGCTACTCGTCAGGCTACTCGTCATAGTTTGTTGTCATACTTCAAGTTTCAAGGGCGTAGTGTGACCAGTTACAATATTAAAAATTGAAATTATGTTCAAAAGTTCGACTTGCTGTTTGTTGACTACATTTTTAGGTATGAAGGTGAAGTTTATGATCACTTTAAAATTAGTTTCAATGAACAACTCTCCAGATCACGTTGAAGATTTAGTACTGAGAATAGATCTTATACAACTGCATCTTAATTTCAAAGTTTTATAATTTCATTGTTTCATAGTTCACTGAAATAATTTGAGTAAGAAATAATCGTAAGTTAATATTTTTTGATCACATGTAGTCAAATAAGCATACTTTTACCTATTTTTTTTATACCATTGTATAAGATAATACAAGTTAAACCTAAACCTATGCTCTATGCTAACCTTAAATATTTTTGAAAACATTTTTTTTATTTTTTGTCACAAGAACTTTATGAGAATAGATTTTGGTAAATTAACTATTCCGTTTGTGTTCATTCATAAATTTAATTGTTCATTATGCTTAAACTATTTTTTAGCTACTTACAGGTTATAGAAATCTAAATATATAAAATATTTTATAATTCCATTTTTTTTTTAGACAATATTGAAGTTCAAATCTTGACGAAACTGGGTATTTAAACGAAGAATAACGATTTAAGTAATTTTGCTGTGATTCGAAAATATTGTTCGCGGGGACTGAAAACTTTTATTCACGTCTATTTTTGTACTTCACTAGACACAATGACATTTTCAAAATTTTAAGATTAATTTATTTTAAGCTATTTCCTATTTATAACACGGACGGCACAAACCTATTCACACCGTTTTACAATAAGTATTATATTTAAATACATGTACTATGGAGGTATACGATCATGTATCTATAAGTAACGAGTCTAAAAACATTAACTTAAATAATGGTAATGGCTAGTGAGTAATACGAATCCGGATCATGGCTTTCTCGTTCGAACGTAAATTTAACGATCAACAATAAGTGGTATTGCATTTTTCTGATAGTAGGGGGCACAACTTAACACACATCAAGTTTTGACCATGGTAATCTTTAAATTTTATTTTCGTTACAATAGTCTTAAATAATCATTTCAAAACCTCTACAGTGGTTAGTGATTTTTATTTAACAACCGATTTTTGCTGTATAAATTGTCGTTAATGTTGAATTAATTTTGGTATTATAAAAAAACGCCAATGAATAGGAGAAGAAGGATTGTTGTTATTGATTTGTATAAAACTAGCCTGTAGGTATATCATGATTTTGTTATTGTGGCACTATAGTGTCGTGTACCAGTACGGCAGCACCACTGTAAATTTATAGTTATGAAATCAATCATAAGTCTAGAATGTGCTAAAAAGGTTGTTTTTCTTGAAAACAACAAACGATGTAGTACAGGGGAATGACGACCGCAAGTGTAAAGTAGTACCTTTAGGGCGTTGTTCAAAACTGCACATTTTACACCTTTCAATACGTCACATATTTTTTCTATTGTTATAAATGGAAATTTGGAAGGTGGATAATTCAAAACCGCACACATTTGATTAAAAATTAGAAATTACATATTCATTGACATTAAATAAGTCGTCGTAAAAATGATGTGATTTATGTATACGATTTTATAGTTGTAATATTAACTAAAAATTATTTATAAATTATAATAAATTCAATATAATACCTATATAATAAGAAAAAATAAATTGTGTAGTGAAAAAAAAATAATGTTGGGATTGAAATAAGTCTATGAATAATTCCGAAAGTTTTATATTAAAAATTAAAATTTTTTTATTAATTATGTATATACATTTTTAATATTTTGTAATTTTTTTAAAATTTGATCAACTAGTATGCGGTTCTTTAATATAATGTGATTTCAGATAAATGTGTGCGTTGTTGATAAATATCAGTGTGTGCGGTATTGTGTGGTATAATGTTGACAAAACTGTGCGGTATTGACGTAAAAAAGTGTGCAGTTTACGACCTTTTTTTGAAATTGTGCGGTTATGACAACCACCGCATCTATTGACTCAATAACACCACACAAGAAAAGGTGACCTAGGTTAAGGCGGCAATGTACTTATTATTTAATTATTTATTGACAATTTTCCACTTTCAAGGTTCAGGCATTTCTAATGTGAAACGCCAACTCATTGTTCCTTATTCACCGCCTCATATTTATTCCACTCATTTACTTATTGTACATTCTGTATAGATAGCAAATTTTCATTAAATGAACGAATAAAATAAAAAAAAAAAAAAAAAAAAATAAACAATTTTCAAACCCACATAGCACTACAGGATCAGGTAAATTAGTATAGCCGTATAGATAGTTATACGGTATGATATTTGAATGATATGATACAATTATAATATAGCTTGTTGTAATTTTCGGTGACAACTNGCCTCATATTTATTCCACTCATTTACTTATTGTACCTTCGGTATACATAACAAATTTTCATTATATGAACGAATAAAATAAAAAAAAAAAAAAAAAAAAAAAAAAAAAAACAATTTTCAAACACACATGGCAAGACTGGATTAGATAAATTAGTATAGCCGTATAGATAGTTATACGGTATGATATTTGAATGATATGATACAATTATAATATAGCTTGTTGTAATTTTCGGTGACAACTGACATCTCGGCACTCCGTCCGTTTCGCTTTTTGGCTCTACGGTGCACGCTTTCATTTAGCCGGCGGTGGTGGAGCCTCGGCTGGTGGAGTCTCGTCTGCTGGACTACCAGCTGGTTCCGCGGGTGGTGGACTATTATTGGCAGGCGAAGAGGTGTCACCGGGGTCTTCATCGTCATCGGATTTCTTCTTTTTATTTTTTTTTCTGGCCTTTCCGCCCTTTGACGGTGTTGACCCACCATAGTTGTTATTGCTTCTGGCAATGTGCGATGGACCGTATTTTATCGTATAAGAATTTCTCGGATAAGTTTTCAAGATGTGTCTTCTCGTCTCATAGTGGTAGCCCGACGGAGGTCGCCGCAACACTCCGTGGTTCACCAAGGAGTTTGGGTAGTTACGCGACAGAGCGAGTCTTTGACTAAATGACAATGACCCGGATGCCTGTGGGTTACGAGACATTACAATGTTAAGGTATAATATACATTCAGGCCTGTACACTGCATCGCGTACATGGTTCGATTTGAAATATTATAATTTAGATTCTACTTGTATGGGTGGGTAGTTAACGCGTTCCCAACATTTTGACATCGATGTGTTCAACGTATACACTGCAAAATAGTAATAAGACGATACAGTGTAAAAGCCTGCACTTATGTAAGTATAATAATATATGATAAAGTTTTCGGTTGAAAATAAAATAACGTCCAAGGGAATCTACAATTTTATAATATTCTTTTAACGTTTTGTTCAATTGTGACATTGTAGGTGACATAATACTAATAATTTCCTGTCTTCGACATTTAAAAATGTGTAACGGCGTCAAGATAAATTAAATGGCCGCATATCCAGAAATTTCATTTTGTATACTATAATATTTTCATATTTTAAGAGAAGTGGACAATTGGAGTATAGTGCATATATTTTACTTACGATTTGACATGTTGTCATAAAGATGCACACTGTTGTTAGTTGTGGACAAGTCATAGTGCATAATAATAATTACCTAACTATTGTATGAATATTAAATTCATTGATTACCTATTAGAATAACAATAAATAAATGTAGTTCAAATCAAAATGATTAAATTTCATATTACATCCTTATTATATTCTACAATATTATACTCATATTATTATGACTTACGTTGTCTTCATTTGTGCAAATAATACGACGGCAAACATGTCGCTTTAATTTTACATTATGCTTTAGGTATCGTCAGTCATTTGTTTAATTACTATACATTTATACAGTTTTACAAATATTAAAACGAACCTAAAATAACAGTTTGCCTGTCATGCAATGCAAATTGAGGGTTATTTTTAGTTATAATTGCATCGTGGGGACTACATCAACCTAACAATATTCATTTGCTGCCAGACTATGTAGACATGTATATGTGAAGTATTCAAATATAACTGGTTCAATTGATTTATAGGAACTGCAGGATTATAAAAACTGTCAAAATATACAGTTTATTATGGCCTCATTGGCCATTCTGCTAAGTATGATAATAAGATGTTGTTATTTGATCTTTAAAAAAAAAATATTCTATAAGATCAAATTGGAAAAGCTTGATAGACAAAGATAATTCATAACAGATTTATATTAAACGATATGAAAGATTTTTTTCTATGTTTGTTACTAAAAATGTTTATGCTTGGCTAAAAAGCTTGATAGTTAATAAATAATAACAATAGGTAGGCCCAATAGGGCCATCATAAGTTGAGCATAAAGTGATTCAAAAATCCAAAAAGTACATTGGCACAATTTTCTCTTCGAAGCATTTGGAGGTAAAATAAGGTAAGTAATGACATTTTTAATGCTTCATTTTTCATTGTTGTTTTGACAGACATCTAAAAATCTTAAAAACGCAAATCCCTAGAATTTTTTTCTATGTATTTCAAATTCAACTTTTGATGGAAATGGATATTTCAAGAAATAATTATTTATTTATTTGGTTATAATTACAAGGGACTTATAATTTTTGGGAAGCAAACTTTTCAGACACTAGACAGTGCCAAGTGTCAAGTTATATGAATCAGTGGAGTTCCGCGTGGCTATAGCCTCCGCCCCCCGAAATTTTAAGAAAATAAAAAAATTATTTCTATATAGTCTGCGAAAGTCACTTTAAATATATATTTTTATTGGAACTGAAACCGAAAGTAAAATTTCAACATCAGTATGTTAAACTTAAGGGAGACCCTTATTGTCAAATCAACTCTATGTAAACACATTATCAGCCCCCTCCCTCCCTCCCTCCAAGGAAAATCCTGACTACTCCACTGACATGAATATATGACTTCAACTGACGACTGTAAAATACCTGCATTCGTACAAAAACAACGTAAATACAGTTTTTGCCAAATGAGTAAAAAACTAATAACTATATGTTTTTATCATTAATAATATAAACTTCGATTAAATAATGTTTCAACCGTCCTAAATTTATAGTTGACGGAATTCGCATGCATCCTATTTCCTTAAAATTATCGTTCTGCTAAAAATAAATATTATTACGGTAACATAATAATAATATTAATTATAATAAGTAATAACATATCAACTATCCATGTATTATAGGAAACATACTACTCGCCAGAGGCCCACGATTGCTTAATTTCCGTTGTGGGTTCGGGGCAACGGCTCTCTCTGCCACCCTTAATCCGGGCTTGGTTACTATAATAACACATACGATTTACTCTTTAGTAGATATTTGTTCAACTTACCATATTATCAAATACCGATAGAAATAATAGTAAATATATAATAAAATATATTATTCCAAATATATAGACTGACAGAGCTCTCCTATTTTTCGTATCCAATGATTTATCATTGAATTCAAAATTCAAATTCAACACATACATCATATGAAGTATTTATAATTTTTATATTTTTAAACAAACATGTTTAAAACAGTACGGTCAAGTACAAATTAAAATATCGTATTATGAAACTGTGCGATTGAATATACGTGTAAAAATTAAAATACATTTACATAAACCTTGTAGTTTATATTTAAATGAAAACTTGATTAAATAAAAATAATAATTTGAATATAATGGTTTTATATTATTTAAAGTATATTACAATTAATCCAAAATTGGAGTTGGAGGTGTAGGTGGTGTTGGTGGCTCCTTTAATAATGCATTTCTTTCAATAGCTTTAACTATGAAATAGTTAGTGGTTATTTCCAGAACGTCGATTAGTTCATTTACATGATCATCTGAATAGTGTTCATCAAGGTCCAATTCCTCTGTTACAGCTTTCAATGTTTTTCTATTATTGGGGTTCGGATTTGATAATGATTTTTGTAAAGCATCTATGCGTTTCAGCAACTCTTCACCATCAAGTGTATTTATAAAGTCAGGCTAAAACAGTATATTTATATATATTATTTTTTGCGATATTGAATATGAGACGGTATTTGATAAATGGTTTCTTTTAAATTCTCAAGTAAATAATTTTAACTCGTTTAAAACTTATCGAAACCGAGAAAAAATAAATAATTTTCAGGAAACTAATTGGTTTCCGAAATTTAGAATGACGAGATTCACTTTACAGACATTAGAAAACCTACGTACGATCCTATATTTATAAAGCATTAGAATATAAACAAATACTAGAAATGGTGCGCATTGAAATAACTAAAACTTAAGCATATATACATATATTATTATATTTAAGTATAGTCATATCGAGCACATAAGTCATGTATGCTTCGACTAAAAATTTAACAAATGGAACCATGTCTAACTATGTACCTATCTGTAAAAGACTTATTTACTGATAACAATTTGAAGTCAAAGTATCGAATTATTTTTTTAAATACCTTCATTCCAGAAAAGTGTATCAATGGCAGTCACGATTTTATTATCATTTGTTCATGATCATTAGTTATTAAAACCATTGTCGAAATAATTTAGAGACACCAACAACTTTCAATATTTACATACCGACGATTTAAACATAATGTTATGCAACTTAAGAGGAAAATTATATTATTAGGTTATATTATATTAAATTTCCAAGTTGATTTACTTCCAAATAAAAATGTTATCACTTATAAATTGAAAAAAATCAAACAAATTAGACAACTATCGTCTATGAATAGGGCAGAAGGAGTTAAAATATTAATGTCTAGAAAATTCAAATATGAATATTTGTTATAATAATTACATTTTCTACAATTGTTTATTTTTTGATTTTAAAAACAAAAACAGAATGAATTTTGTCAAAAAATTGTTTTAAGTAAATATCCACCTTTTTTGGTTTTCTTCGATTATTTTGAAAAATACTGAGAATTTTTATTTTTAACCCAACAAATGTTCCAATTAGATCCAACTTTTTACCAGAAACCACACTCATAGTTGTTGTCAATTGAGGTTAAAGGTCCCTGAAGGTGTCGTCAGACACACACATAATTGTAAAACCAATACACATTCATGGCTCCATTATAAATCTAAAAGTAGTATTAAACAGTAAGCTTGTACTAAACATACTATGTTACGTCATATACGACATATTATAACCTTAAAAGTTAAAGCTATGTATTAGGGCATTAGGCGATACATATTAATACATACCTAATAATATGCTCATGTTTAATATGTGAATATTTATAATTCAAATATGTTTAATAGAATCATTAGAATTTAAATTTGAAAAATATTGACAGTATAAAAAATAATTTATTCTAGAATAAATTATGAATTTGATGAAAATTTGTTAAAAAAAGTATTTCTTTTTTAAAGTAGTTAAAAATTTAAACTTAAAGTCCAAATCTCAATAGATCGCCTACTGTAAAGTGATTTGTGAAATAAATTAGACGGAGAAGCTGGAAGTGCTAATTTGAAACATGTGGATGCTTAGCATGCCCATTCACTGACACATGTATGACATTCATGAGCATACAATGCAAACAGAAAAATGTGTGTTCATTATAAACGAAATTTTTGCTACTTGTTATAGTCTCTGGAATTGTTTATACGTTTTTTTTTAATATTGATGATTCGCCATTACAATGCCTTAATAGTAACCTCGATTAAGGGTGTACTTTATATTTGTAAGCATTTAACCCGCGTTTCCTTACTTGTAAAGCCATGGATTCTTGCATAACTCTGTTGAAATCTTCTTCTTTTATTTGAACTTCATCTTCGATTGTGTTTTTACCATCAACGTCGTTCATGTTTCCGTCATCTTCATTCGTGTTTTCATCTTCATCGTTCGTGTTTTCATCATCATCGTCTGTATTCCCATCATCACCATCATCATCGTAAGCTTCAACATCAGAGTCATTCTCCATGCTTTCATTACTTTTGAATTCATTTTTCATATCCGTTATTATTTTACCAACTTTATGATTTGCATTCTCTAATAGTTTTGGGCTTAATATGTTTGTTTCTCCATTTGTTGCTTGGCGGACCGATTCGACTCCATTTTCATACTTTTTCGTTACAACAGTGTTGGTTATAGGGGGTTTAGAACCTTCTATATACGTTTGTGTTACTATTGTTTCAATCTGGTTTTCTTTGTTTTCCGTTTGGGGTGAATCAATGCTGTTCATAAAACTGCCAAAAATATTCATTTTACTTTTCACATGATCGAAAATACTATGCGTTTCTACCAATGAATTGGTTTTTTCTTCGTTCGAGAAATAATTCTTAACGTGTCCCAAATGTGTTATTAAAGATTCTTTCAACTTTCCGTAAATGCCAGTCGCATATTGACTAATCGTAGCACCAATATTTGGTTTGGTCTAAAAGTGAAACACAATTTTATTATTTATGTAAGACAAGCATTGAATTTCGAGAGATTTTTGAAAAAGTCAACATTTATTTAATGTCGTTGAAATAGAAAAATGAAAATGCAGGTGTAAAAATTAAAAACTATCCAAAGTTTTTTGTATACAATTTATAAAATAGTGTAGGTACTAGGTATGTTTTAGATGTACCTACATACTGAAACTTCTTCCAATGTTAATCGAATGGCGGAATATTTCAAAGAATTTGAACAAGTTATTGTAATTTATCGATGACTTTAGACTCTAATCATGACAATTATAACTGTGCCACTTCAAAGATAATTTATTGGATAACCACGTTATGTACAAGTATTAGTATATATGATAATTAAATAACTTGATTTGCGAACGGGGGAGTAAATTGTATCTCTCGACGATGCCTCTATTCTCTAATGCAGTAATTGACAATGTGGGCATTTTTAATTTTGAGAGGGGTGTTATACATAAGGAGTGCTGAGGATGGCGATTCTTCTACCACTTATATTTTTACAGTTTGTGAATTTATACCGTAATGTCTAACTTCAAAACTACGTATGATAAAATTAAAAATTTAAATTAGTTTTTAAATATCAAATTTAGTAGATATATAGTATAATATGTAGTAATTTAATTTGGTTACACGTTAGATTGAAAATTGTAAAGGTATAAAAATTTACTTATAGTCAATAGAAACTATAGGCTAATTTAAGTAGGCCTACCTAATACCTATGTATAAAAATATAAAACTATTTCCATTCTACATGCCTATTGCCCAGTGTAACCGAAATATGGGTCATCATCAGTTTTTTTTTTAAATAGACACCTATATGGGCTGTGAGATTTTTGAAAATCTAAAGATGGCAGGTGCTGAGTAAAAAAGGTTGGGAATTACTGCTTTACGTCTATAATCAATACACATAAGTACATTATACTATAAAATATACGCGTACCTGATCTCCGGTGATATCGGCGTTCTCGTAGTCCGCGGCCCCCTGGGTGGTGAGTGCCGCCACGTTCAAGGACAACGTGACTACGTCTCTCGGCGACAAGTCTGGCACGACGTACGTGGCCAACTTGTTCACCAGCGGCAGGTATGGGGCGGCGTTCACCAAGCTTTTCCTCACGTCTGACCCTATAGTCACGATGTGTGTCTCTGTAGACGATTGGGTCGCGTCCATGAAATTCTTGTATGCCTCCTCGACTTTCGCCGCAGTCGTGGTCATCTCGGAGTTTACGGTGGTTGTGATGTCGGCGTCCGAAGTGATGATCTTATTCTCTGCGGCGGGTTTCTCGCTGTCTTCGTGAAATAACTCCATAAACGGTATTTTAAATGAGGAGATATATTCCCGTTTCCTCCTCCGTTTATACAAGTCATCAATATTAACATATTCGATGTGGTACGAACCAGAGGGGTAGGATAGTACGTCCTTCATACTTTCTAAGTGATAGTAGTCCAGATTAATACGACGTCCGTGTACCTATATTATGATATTTAAGTAAGCGTGGTGTATAATATTATTATTTAACAACAAACACTCGTTAATCCAGCATATTTTTGTAATTTTTTTTTACTTACCTATACTTTATATTATACATTAATCCTGTGTCATGGCCGGTGGCTCGTAGACACTTTCTATACTTATGGGACACGACATTTTTTTAGAAAAAATTCCAATTTTTTAGAATGGGGATTTTTCAAAATTTATCTAGCTATTTTTCTTCCTATCTATAATAATTTTCCAACGCTTCAAGATGATAATTCAGATGATTATTAATAATAATTAATAGGGACAATCATTACCAAACAAATTCCCGCTTACGCACCTAATCGGATTAGCTTGATTGCTATTTATTTTATGTTATACAGAAGATTCTTATTACGTCGAACGTCCACGATATCTTGATTTTTTCGTAATCTTAAACTCAATTGCAATCCCCTTGAAATAATTACCATTAAAATAAAATTCAATACCACGAATTTTTTGATATTATGTTGAATTCTTTTCTGGCCCCTTTGAGTTTAGACATAGATAACGCGAGGTTGCTGTATTTGACTTTACATTAGATATTAAGATTATTGAATTATATAGGTCCAAATAACTTTCTCCCTAATCCCTCGGCGTTTACCCAAGACCATCAGTCATCACCAGATATATAAATATATGCAAAATCATAACACGTGCAAATATTATTGCTATCATTATGTTATCATAATTTAATAATTATAATTTAATATTTATAATAATATAAATGTAAAAATTTTAGATTCTGAGCGGAGCGATGAATGTATTGATTTTACAATGATGTGGGCTTTTTTATTTATTTATTTATTTATTTATTTATTTATTTTTGTATTTGTCATTAAGGTTTGGGGTAGTGAAAGTGCTTCGATTTTCTTCAACAGCAACTTTTCTAGCAAGAAATAAATCTAGTTGGTGCATTCGGGAACTAAAAATCTAAAATTCTCAGTAGTTTTCAAAAGCGATAGGAAAAACAGGAATTTTTACGCAAAACCAGTTAACAAAAAAATTGATTTTAGTTTTTAATGTAACTCTTAATAAAATTACCGTAGATACATGACATTTTCACTGAATGTTTGTGTCACCATTTTCTATACACCATGCGATTTTCAAAATATTTTGACTCATGTTGAACTATTTATAAGCATGTTGCAAATTTTTTTACTCTGTTAAAAACGTGTAAATATAATAGGTTCTTAGTGGAAATTAAAAAAAATTGTCGTGTGTAAATACACAATATTTTTTTACGAGCCTTTAAATTTTAAATTTTGACAAAATTCGTAAAAATCACGAAAATTAGCAAATTATTTTGAGTTGGAAATTCAAAAAAAATTTTCTTATTTTATCTAAAATTTAAAAATTCAATACAAGATTTCTTATAGGTTTGTCTACCTTTATTAAAAAAAAATGTCTACCGGAAAATCAAATCAAATATTTATGAGCGTTTGAAGTTGAAATTTTTACAACATTGGATATCCAGTCAATTTTTCATGTTGCGATTTTCTTATTTTGTTGTAATTCAAAAACAAATATTACTGTAGATACTTTAAATTCACACCATATGTTTGTTTCATCAATTCATATATTTAATAACATTTCAAAATATGATGACTCGTTCTAAACTGTTGAAGGACATTTTCAATTTTCATTTTTTTGGTATAAATGTCAATTTAATTTAATTGGTTGGGTCAAAAATCATGAAAATTTAATACAAGACTCTCGATATATTGTTGCAATATTTATCAAATTGAAAATTGAAAATGATTTTGTAGTTAAAAATGTATAAAATGTTCAATTTGTATAGCTAAGGATTGACAATTTAAAACAAGGTTCCACTTATTAAGCAGTTTTTTCGATAACTAAGAAATCTAAAAAATATATGAATACAGTTATTTTCTATAGACATTTTAAGTTAAAATTTTTACACAATTTCATATTAACAAAAATAATAATGTTCATCATTTTGTTGTAATTCGGTTCCAAAAACAGCCCAATTTTACATAGGTGTATTTAATCTTTTTCCAGCATCACTGATAATTTAAGAATAATATTAATTCAACTTACCAACTTCCATATCAATAATAAGTAATAAGTAATAACAAAATATAATGTCCTAAACTGACATACAGTCTCCGCTCAGAATCGCTTTTCGTATATAATGAGATATGATATGATTCAATTTAAATTTAATACCGTCCATTACAGTCTACCTTCTAGACACCTAATGTACAACAGAGCGACATCCACTCACCCGCTTTTTTAAATTTAATATATATTTGAATTTCATGAATAAAATAAGTTGCTTAAATTATAGTAAATAAAAAAATAATAATTTAAATCAATTTCAAATTAAATTAAATGTTTATGATTATATGAACATATTTAAAATAAACTTAAGGCGCTATTTTTTGGTCTGAATAGCTTATAATTTTTGTAACATAATTTTAAGACAACTCTGGATAGTTTAGGTACATGTTTCCTTTGGGTAAACATTTTGTTGACCCAAGAGATTGTATATATTTCCGGCGACATTCGAATTGCCTCCCAAATATAGATAGGTGACCTTTTTTCACTTGCACACTCCGGGAGTCTTCAGAGGCAATTTGAGTATACCTAAATTGTCTACTCGAATTGCCTCCTATAGAATACCTAGATTATTAATTAATATATCGATAGTTGTACATGTACTGTAGTTATTATATCGATTTCCGTAGTGTTTAAAAATATTACTTGAAAAAACAAATGAAGTTTCAAAATATTGCAATATCTAAAAGGAATCTAGGACTTCCCCCCTCTCCCCTCCAAAAAAACGGCACATATTCCCTCCGGACAAAAAATAAAAATAAAAATATTAAACAATAATAATAATATACAAAGCAAAAAAATTTTCTCAATAAAATTCTATTAAATTAATATATAAATTAAATTCCATAATACGTCATAATAACACTTTTGCTATTTGCCAAATGCCAATACAATAATATAATATATTAAAAATATTAAACACTACACAAATACAAATTATAAATATGACATAATTAATAAATACAAGTAAAAAAAACGCAACTTATATTTTTTATTCTGGAAAGATATCTCACGGAATAATAACGTCATATTATAACACGGTCGACATTAAAATACAAAATTAAATAATACAAATCAGAAAGGCTAAAAAATATTTAATAATATAATTTGCAAGTTTTTCTGGTAGAATAAGCTCATAGAAATTAAAAATTATAAATATTATAATATTATGAATGTATATTTCGGGTAAACCTAAAGAATCTATTTTCCAATCTATTATTATGTGGAAAAAAAATATTATTGATTCAAGTGGGAAATGTCTCTGTCCAAATACCATTTAAAAGTATTGGAAAATTAATCCAAAATTAGGAATCTAATATAAGTTACAACATAATAATTAACTAATAATTATGTACAAACCTAAGTTTTTGGCTGTGTGACAGAATTATATTTCATCTAATTTAATTGTATGCATTGACTATTGATTTTTTTAAATATTTGAAACATTATACTTACTAAAATGTTTATACAATATAAAATATTATATATGCTCGTATATTATTTACTAACATTTAACATTAACTTACAATAAATTATTATTTAATTTATTAATATTTCTTATAATGTAAGATTATAAATTAATTAATTATAGCTATTGGAGACGATTTCAGTACAATGAGGGTCACAACCTAAAATAAAAAGGCTATTCAAGTGAATAATATTTTTGAGTCGGGACGCAATTCCAGGAACTTTTAAAAAAAAATTCACGCGAGGCAATTCGTGAGCGCCCATATTACCTCCAGAGTTCAAGTAAACACAATTTAGACCAGGAAGAATTTACAATACAATCGGACGAGTTTACCATCGCTCATTTAAATAAGTAGCTAAATCCTCTGGACACGCCAGTGGTGACCGGGTGGTGGTAAACTCTTCCGATGTCACATGAATATTGATCATAAAATGCATCACGTAAACGGTAAAATTGGCTATTAGTAGGTGTTGTTCGACTTACAACATTGCACGCGGTCACGAAGAACACAACTGCATAGTGATGGAAACGGTTCATGATTCGTCGATGCAGCGAATGTGATGTGGTGTGTGTGTACCGCGTACCTACGGCGTAGATGATAGTATAATATATTACTATATATATATATAGTTAATAATATTATGTAATATAAATAAATTATGATAAAATATTAAATCATATTGCAATCGACCGTTAGGAATGAAGACATTTGTTAAATAATACTTGAAAAAAGATTTTAAATCAGACTTTAGGATGCCACCCGGGCACGTCACGACACATAATATTTAAAAACGCAGTCTCTATAAAATTATTATTATAATATTATTATCGTTAATCATTTATCGCGTTCATGCACGGTTTTGCGTACCTAGTCTGTAGGTGACGAAAATATTATTCATTTGTGCAAACACAAGTAATAGGTAAGCAACATATTGTTATATACGCTGTCAACCCGTGACATTTCAGTTTTGTTGTATGAATATGACGTATATACCTTTTATGGGGAATGGGCATATTATACGTATTTTTTAAATTTTTTTTTTTTGGTTTCAAAATTTGATTTTATTCGCATATACTTAAGGTCACATTTATTATTTAATTTTATAAAATAAAATGAGGAAAAGAAATGTATTTCTTATAAATTTCTCAAATTATTATGATATAAATAAATAATACGGTGTATTTTGGTATATATAGGCGACTATTTTAATGTTGGGCTCTTGACCTTATATTCTTATTTCCAGTAAATAAATATATATATATATATATATATATATATTTGAGTAAGTTGATACTTATGACGTTATAATTTTGAAAAATATCTTATTTTGAATAGTAGCCAGAGTAGCCTTGTTTAATTTTACCATTTTTATACAAAGTAATAATATGAGATAGATAGGTCTTGATGGTTTAAAGTGTAATACTACTCCGATTACTTAAATTTAAAACCTAAACTAAATTAAATCTGAAACAATTTAATATTCAGAGGAATGTGAAACTAAAAATATGGGTTACCCACTAGTTGAAAAAGTAAAACACTGATTTTGACGGTTGGAATGAGTATTCCGCTTTAGAACAGTTGGGAGAATTTTATGTGGTTTAATCATAATATGTTCAAAAACAATTAAAACAATATTAAAATAATTGATTTAATCAATCAAAATGTTCGTGTGAAAACGATGACATGTCATCATCATAACCTGTAGGCTAACCTATTACGGTCATACCTAATCACCTACTACGTCAATTGTATATAAAATAAACGTCATAAGTAGTCAGCTCAGTATTGAATGATAATTTATGTTTCTAAATTCATTAAAATTAGTACAAATGTACATGTCAGTCATCAATCAATAATTTTATCACAGTAAATAATCAAAATGTATAGTTGTTGACACGCGCCTGTACTAATATTAGTCTACAAGTCAAGAATTGCATTCTAACTATAAAAAACCAAAAAATATACGGCAATGTTAAAAAACGAGTCCTGTGAATATTATGATGCACTTATTATATAATAATTTTCTAGTTAATACTTGAAACTTAAAAGTGTAATCACATGCAATTCACCATACATCTGGTTCGTGTTTTCATCGATGATTAATGAAAAAACAATCTTGGTCATCCATATCACCATATCGGTGATTTAGGTTAAGAATTTGGAATTACAATATCTTGTTATTCAATATATATAATATTATAACAATAATTATTGTATTAGGTATGTAGCCTATGTTATTATGTTTATTATAACTTGTCTACATATCTATCTACTTCTATTTGAATACATTCAATAAAACAGAATTTAGCACGATGATATTTTACAATGTTTGTATATTAAGTTCATAACAAAATCAAGTTAGAAAATCTCACTCAGCGAACGTGCTGAATTTCCGGCGATGAGAAACATTTTAAGATGTAGAAAACTTTGGTTGGTGGGAATGTGGGATGGGTGGTCAAATGGCAGGGACAGACTGGGATAAAAATGCATGGCTGTGAAGGCAATCTTCACCCATTATTTAACACTATCATTTTATTTATAAAAAATTAAAAATATCAGCTTTGAAAATTGAAAAATATGTACCTGAGTAATATTAAAATTAATAATTATTAGCATACAGCAATACATTAATTATGTTAAGCTTTATAACTAAAGTAAAGATTTTTAAGTTCAATAAATTGAAATATGATGCTAATATTCCACAAAAAAACCTAAAAATATTCTACTTATAATAGAATTATTTTGAGAAGAAAAAAGTACTTTTTTTCAGTTTGAAAATGTAAATATAGGTGACCAGTGGTCTTAACTTTGCACCCACTTCGCCATCATGTATCATTTCTTTTCTAGAATATTGTGTCTTGTCTGGTGTTCTAAAATTCTAAATTCTAATTTTTAACAATGTTTTAACCACAAAATAATTTGAAAATTTTTGAGATTTCGATAAATGTTATTAAAATTTGAACCTAAAATATTTATAAAAGGTTTAATTTATGTATCTTAATTCATTTCGAACTGTTATTCTAGTTTTTATAGTAGGTATTTCTTTAGTTAGGTATTATACCAATTTATAGGGAAACCTGTATTAAATCTTAAAGCTTTTTGTCTCAACAAAAAAAGTGTTATCGACATTTAAGTAGGTATGGAAAAAAACTAAAAAATTTCAAATTTCAAATTTTTATAAATAACTCAAAAAGAATCAAAATATTTTGAAAATTGTATTGTGTATAATAGAAAATGATAAAATGAACATTTAATGGAAATGTATACGGAGTATGGTTATTCGTTTTTGACTAATAACAAAATAAGGAAATCGGTCAATGATAAATCGTTAATTTATGTGTGAATATATTAATGTCGTAAAAATGGGTACTAATTTTGTTAAAGGTATGCAAACTAAAGAGGGAAAAAGTGTTCATATTTTCTAAAGTAAGAAAATAATGTTTTTACATCAAGAGTCTGTTATCAATTTTGCATGTATCCTTATCAATGTTTATACTCTTATCACAGTGTTATTATTTTTGTATAGTATTGTTTATTGATAAGCTGCGGGATACAACAAAAATGCAAAATCTTTTAAGTTATTATCAAATACCAATATTACTATTCAAGTCAAACATAACATTTCCTCCTATATGTGATCGTTATTTTAAACTATAACGCTTTTATTAAACTGACAATAATAAATCAATAAAACAAACTTATAATGTCATCAAGTAGTGTAAGTATACATTTTATTCTACCAGTTATAGAATAGGCAGTTTAATATTGTAAAAGTAATTTTGATTTTAATGTTAATAGAGACCGGATGATCATCGGCGAAAATGGGACCGAGACGAATACGAAAAGTTAGCCAGAAAGAGACTGATGGACGATCTCGACGACGATCGTTCCAAGGACCTATCACCAATAAAAAGGGAAATGCTTAAGCAACGAGATTACCGCGTCGACTTAGACTCAAAACTTGGAAAAAGTGTTGTTATTACTAAAGCCACTCCTTCTTCTCAAAGTGGAGGGTAATAAATTATTTTTTTATTTTTTTTTATTACTAAATCAATCTTGTTATATTTCAGATACTACTGTAATGTTTGTGATTGTGTGGTTAAAGATTCCATTAATTTTTTGGATCATATAAATGGAAAAAAACGTAAGTGTACATGACTACATGCCGTGTAGTTATAAAACAATGTCAATGAATATTATTTAGTGAGATGGTCTTCTCTCAAAATAAAATATTCATTTTTTGATTACTAAAGCCCGTATTTTTGTGCAACAAACATCTGGAAGTGTACAAAATTAAGTTTTTAGTATATTAGGAATTAGAAAATATAAATGTCAGCTTAGGACCTTAGGTTCTTAAGATTATATTTCTTCTAACTTTACATTTATTTTGTATTATTCTATTTTTGTATGTAGTAGGTATAAGTATAAATAAAAATAATGTCAACTTATTGGTGACATTTTACTGAATTTTAATATGTAAATTTCTTTGTGTTTTTCTTACAGCTCTAACAGTAGACTGTAGTTCTATAATAGTTAGTTGCCAGTCGGTTGTATATGATTGTCATACCATCATTATCTTTTTACATTGCACCTACTATATTAAGTTTTAAGTCAAACAACAATAATAAAGTAACAAAATCTAAATATAATACCTTAATACCCGTGATAATAAAAAAACATGCATTTAGATAAAATTTAATTTAAAATAGGCATGTAATGCATAGAACTAGAAACAAAAATCATGTTTAAGGATTAAAATTTATTTTAATCAATTCAGATTAATAGTTTTTTTCTTTTGGAATTGAAACATGTAATAAAAAGATATAATTGCACTAAAATATGGTCTTTACTAATTACTGGTTAGAACAGTATAATACAGTCAGTCTTGAAAACTTGACTTTTAAGAGGGATAATAATTAATTTGATAGGATTTTTTTGTTCAAATATAACTTATATTATGTAAAACTTAAAGGAACAAGAAAAAAATGAAATTATCACTTCTAAATCTTGATATTGAAGCTTGACTGGTAGTACTCTGAATAATTTTACATTTAAATAGCTAATAACATTTCTATAACTTCATATTTTTAGATCAAAGAAATTTAGGAATGTCCATGAAGATTGAAAGATCATCATTGGATCAAGTTAAAAAACGATTTGAAACAAATAAAAAAAAAATGGAAGAAAAGAAAAAAGATTATGATTTAGAACAGCGTTTACGAGAATTGAAAGAAGAAGTAATTTTACATTTTACATAGTACTTAAATTCAAATATTTTAAATTTAATTTGTTCATTACATTTTCAGGAAGAGAAATTAAAGGAATATAGAAAAGAAAAAAAGAAGGAGAAAAAACGAAAACATGACGATTTAGATGATGAACCTCAAAAGGATGATATGGCAGCATTAATGGGATTTTCAGGTTTTGGGACGTCCAATAAATGACAGTTGTTAAGAAACGTAATAAGGTTAAAGTGATAAAATAGTAAATTCAAAAATTCAATAATTTTCAGTAATAATGAATTATAACATTTAAAATTGTAATGAAACTGCTTTCTAGAAATTCATAAACATTTTTATCAAACAGAAAATTCCTTCAGATCTATAAAAAAAGATTAATATTGATTATATATTTTCTTTTTTTTTAATGTCTTAAATGTACATTGAATTATTCATACAAACCATTTTATATGAAATAGAATAAAGCTGACAGAACACTTATATAATATGTACTAAATATTTTATACATTTTGATATTCATTGATTTGTATGCTATAACAAAATAAATACAGTTTATTCAGTTATCAATTTATCATAATTACAGTAGTCACTCGATAATTTAAAAATCTCCATAAATCAAATTAAATGCTAAGTCCATTGAGAAAACCTCTATAATTAGAAAAAAATACATGTATTCCGGTCCCCTCTATAATTTGAAATGTCTGTCAGTGAGGCACACTCTGCAATTCAAATTTTCGTTCCACATACCTCTGTAATTCGAATTTCTTTAAACGCGATTATGTGTAGATTCAAATGTATAAAGATTTTGTGAATCTATTTATATGACAGGATTACATTAATTTGTTGATCAATCTGAAATGGATGAAAAAAGATGCGATACAATTTTCAATGCTATCAGTAAATTAGACAACTCCATGGACCAGATTGTGGCCAACAATTTTTCACAAAAAAAATAACATATTTCTTTAATAATATGTAAAATATAATAATATTAAAAATTAATGTAAAATATAATAATATGTATGATAAATAAATATCAATTAATAATTGTATTTATAAGTAAATATCAAAATAAACGTAATACAATTTTTCACCTCTCTTTAATTCAAATTAATTTCTTTTTCCATTGATTATTCAAACACTTGATAAAATGAAAACCTCTATAAATCAAATTTTTAACTCGGTCCCCTGAATTTCAAATTATTGAAGGACTACTGTATATATGTAAACACATACTTAAATATTCATTGCTATGTATTTTATATATACAGTACAATTTTTTTTAACTTTCGTATACTTCACCTTCTGTCTCCAATATTAGAATTCAAAATGAACCTTAAATATAAGTATAAAAGAAATAATGAGGAATAGTACAGACGTATGGAATACAATTAATGGATAAAACCAAATCATCAAACCTTGGTACAGCATTCCAATTAATAATTAATATTTATAAAATATTTGCTTATTTATTTCATTGATCTGTCTACATCTAATAATTGCTGCACCCATGGTATGTCACAAATGCATGCTGACAACATTTGCAAATTAAACAGTCAACAAATCTGCCTAATTTCTCTACATACAATTCCATGGTTAATAAATACTAATATTTCATCAAAGTCCTTCCAAACCTTCCACAGTAATCTGAATAGTTTACTTAAAAGAAACTGGCGAAGATGCCATTTAAATCAAAACCAAAACTAACTTCTAACAAACTATTTGAGGTTAACACTTTTTCTTATTGTGTAGCGTAAACAGATTATTAAATTATTTTACATAAAAATAAACTTTTCTAGTCTTGTAGAAATTGTGTATGATTATTGATTAATATAAGAAGTCATACAACTTTTTTTTTATAGTACTGTTTTATTTTTTAATCTGGTCATATATTACATAAAGAGTTGATTATCACAGTGACGCAGCTCAATCATATAATATGGCCAAGCAGAGAACACTTAACTAATATCATAATCAATGGCAATAATTTTAAATTAAATTTCTTTCTTATGCTATTCATTAAAGTGGTAATCATATTCTTAAACATAAATGATAAATACATTTTGTAGTGCTAGGGTCATAAACAAGGCTCAGCATTTTATGCATTGGTATATTTCTTCAAATACCTAATCCTGATTAACTAGTAATTTATTTTTATAACACATATCTCAAATAGGTATAATAATTAAGAAATCAAAAAATGTATGTAACATATTTTTACATATTGTACTAAATTTAAATGATTTTGCATATTTAAAGTTTTATATTTTTTAATAAATAAAAAAAAATATGTTAGAAATCTAAGTGTTATCCTGGCATCGAGGCTTATGAAATCATAAAAATAAAGCATTATGTATTTTATTTTGTCATAATTACTTTTTAAAAACCATTAATGGTGAAGCTCTATTTACTTTTGTACTTAACTATTTTAAATAATGTAATTAATTTCAAAAGTATTATTAAAGACGTTTATAATTTACATTTATTATTCATTCTAGAGAAAATATTATTAGGATAACGCGTACAATACACCTTACTTTTTACTATTAAACAATTGAAAACACATTAAATTCACAAAAAACTCATCACTTATCAAAATAAAACTATAATAATGCAAACCAATTAACACTTAGAAAAATAAAAATTGTGAAATAGCAAGGTTAGTATATGTATGAGATTTCAGATTTTGGAAAATAAATTTTAAATAATAGGTAAATTAGTTAAAAAATGTATTTGATGATGCAAAGATACATAATATACTTATAAGTCAAAAATCAATTAAAATAAATAACCTACAACCCATTTACACTGAACAGCAAATTCCCGCATATCTGTAAATAAAATAAAAATATATATTATTATTGCTAGTAACTAGTCATTACTTATTAATTATGATTTAATGGACGTTTCTTATAAAAATTATTAACCAGTATAGTCATATTAAACAGAATGATCGATCTCAATATTGAATTTAAATATATATGAAAAAACCATTAATTAATGTTTAAAAAATATTTTAATTCTCTAACCCTATCACTATGACATAATTATTTTCAAAAATTTCACTAGGTAGTAGGTACCAATTCTATGATGACTTCTAGGTGTTACACTTTCTTTAAGTCCCGTTTAAAAAAAATTAATAATTTAATTTGATATTCTTGAATTTATATAAAAACTTTAAATTAATTGTGCTTAAGTATGTATAACATTTTCAAAATAAAATAAATTGGTACTATTGATTTTCAAGTGTATTTAAAATATAAATTACTTAATGAACCAACAAACTTCAGGCACCCATGTACACTCAATTGTTTACAATACAAAAATAATAATGATTAAGGGCGTCCGCAGGAATTTGTCAAGGGGAGGGCAAAATATTTTGCATTTTAAATTTTTTGTTTCACTAAATAGGTAGGTATCTTATTATTGATACAGTATTATTTGTGACATATTTTCTTCCACATAGGCAGGGAATGTAAAAATTATTTATGAATTATACGTGGATAGTTAGTTAAAACCTAATCTTACAGCATTCACTTTAATTGAATATTATGTAATTTTAAATTAGCAAATATACCTATTTTTTTTAATAAATAAAATGTTACCATTAATTTGATAATGTTAGGTAAATTATACCAAGAGGATTTCAATGCACTTAAGCACTTTGTATTGTTTTCCGAATCTATAGCTACTTGATACTCGTTTTAAAACATACACAAATAGAACAAGAAGTTTTTATTTTGCATTTCTTGATGGTTTTAAATTTTAAGGTCATTTTTTGCATTTTAGGATTTTTGGAGCATTTTGAAGTTTTTTTTTAAATTTAAATTTTACACTTCGTTTTAATATTTGCACAATATGATTTTACATGATTTTTATAATAAATATATGATCTAAACCTATATAAAAAAAAAATAATTAATTTTCAGATTAAAGAAGTCCAAAACGATCAGTTCTGACTGCAAAACTTTTTACAATCCTTTAAAAGTTAAAAATGTATACCTACTATAATTTATACCACATTTATATTAGAATTAATTAAATCTTTTATATTAAAAATAAAAATAAGTTAGTGCACTATTTTGAAATGATTAAGGCTTTTTTAAAGTTGTTTTAGGACATTTAAACCATCAATAATGATTAGGAGAATTGGCGCAGAAAATCCGAGGAGGGCGCAACTGCCCCTAATTTCCCCCCCCCCCTCGCGGACGCCCTTGATAATGATAGTATTATACCACACAAATAATATTGTACTTACAATGATTCTATTGAGCAAAACAGTGAAAGGTATGTATCAAATGAGTTCAGGATTGATGCCACAACGCAGTCTTTTAAATGTTTACAATTACCACGGATTTGGTCAGGTGTTGTACAGTTTTGATATGATTGGCCACTCTAAACAAATATCAAACAGTAAACGAACAACATGAATTTGAAATTAATTATCGAACAAGACCGTCGTCTGTCTTTATCAGTCACGGTTTACGCACCGTGTTCAATGATACTTGGTAAACTGTATTAGTTGAGTTCAATGTAATGGTATCACTCAGCCATGCTAGTTCTTTGATATCGTGCAACGATGTAGAATTTGATTTATCTGTTAAAATTTGGGGAGGCTCTTCTACTGAGGTCGTTGCGGTTTCGTCCGTAACCATAGTTCTCGAAATAGATGAAAAAGGAAAAGATTCAAAACTATAATCTTCATCGTCGCTGTCGCTGTGGTCTCGAAAATTATAACCAGCCGAATACGTATATAATTCTCTGCGATGACCCATATAATTCCAACCTACTAAAAATAATTATTACTGTTCTAAATACAATACACTTGGTATCTTGGACGTAATTAATGAATTTATATACCTAAAATTATAAAATTGAGTTTTAAAGTTATTACTATTTGATGAATAAAAATTATAACATTCTCGTAGTGATAAATATAATAATATAATGGTGAATATTAAAATAATAAAAAATTATGTTAGTAAGCACATTTTAAGTGTACATTATTTTATTTTTACAAAATACACCTGATTAAAAATCTGAAACAAAAATAACCAAATAATCTACCAAGGCTTAGCCATATTGATCACGGTTCTATCCATATTTCATATTTTAGATTCTGAATGCAGCGATGGTTGTATTGTGTTAACACTTAACAATGATGTTTTTCTTCTGTCATCAACATAAGTGATAGTAAAAATGCTCAGATTTTCGATTTTCATCTTTTCAAATAGAAAATTGAGTCAGGTTAAAGCATTCTGGAGATCAAAATCGAAAATTCCCAGTAGCTTTCAAATACGTCGAAAAAAACAAAAAACAATGAAAAATAATTTGTACGGAAAAACGATTTTTAAAAAAAAATTTTTTTTGATCTAACTCAAAAACTTACGACTGTAGAGACTTGCAATTTATACTAAATATTTATATTCGCATTTTCCATCTATGCCCTATGGTAACATATTTTTACGAATTTATTTAAAATTATTTTTGATAAAAACTTTTCACTTCCTAAAAAGTTTGAAATATGCAAGGTCCTCGTAAGATGCATTAATAGAAGTTAAAAATTATTTAAGGTACATAGGCAAGGTTATTTTCATACACATTTAAAGTTCAAATTTTGGTAAAACTCATCAACATTTGTAAATTATTTTTCGGTTATAAATTCGTAAACGTTTTTTTTTCATAGCTAATTTTAGAAATTCTGACAAGAGAATGCCAACAAGTTTTTCTGCCTTCATCAAAAGAAAAAAAGTTCAAGTCATGAGATATTTTCCATTTTTTAAATTATTTAATTAGATTGTTTATTTAAGTATGCAAGGATAACAAACGTCTCCGTTTGAGTCCACTCAGAATCGTATTTCATATACAATGATTTATCATTGAATTCAAAATATATATAATGTAACAAATAAATGATAATGATATGCTCGATAAGTGACAACTCTAGTGCAGTAGGCACCCACCTGTCCACCTTTTTCATTTCATTTTTTTAATACCTAATAATAAGTTTTGTGCAATATTTGATATCTTGTGTTTTGTTTTAAAATAAAAGCGCCTATATTCCCATTTGTATCCCATTTCTCTATTCTTTTTTGTCACTTTAATATTCACAACAGTAAAACAATGAGAAATTTCTATCCATTACAATAATATCTAAGTTAATGTCATCAATTCTCACTATAGAACTCATTCGTTTTATATGGTTTCAATTGGTACCTACTTAAATTATATCTATCCAGCGGTTCAATTTTCTCTGGAGAAACTGATGTAGTTGTATCATTAGGTTTGACAACAACTAAAGACGTCAGTGGAGTAACGAATGAATACTAAAAGACACAAACACATATATTATATACAATTATAATAAAACGCATGCAGTTAAAAATACATAAATAGAAATACTTACCTCTAATGCTAGTTCAAGTGCTTTAGATTTTTCTATAGAATTCTCATTCTTGTTTAATTCATATGTATCCATTAATTGTTGTATGTGCAAATACGCCCATAATTTCTGTAAATGACCTGTTGATAGTATAAACAAAAACCAAGTAAGTTGTCCACGAATATAAGCACATTTGCAATGCACACATAAATTGTAAGCACGACAAGCACGGCTATACAATTAATTAGGTAGGTACCTATTGTTGGAACAGCCTCGGGAGGAACGATGGGGAAATCGAAACATGTGATAATGACAGGGCCTTTGAAATCCCCTTCAGTCGAATCGGCGTTCAAAGTTCCGTTAAAATCTGGCAATTTTCCATCTTTCAATTTTCCGGCCACTACTAATTCCGTACCTTTGAACAACAGGTTGAATGATTTTTTCGTCACAGTAACATTGTCGACCTATAAATATAAATTTATAACATTTGTACAATTTATTGGAACACGTAGGTACTTGAACACTGCATTTTTACCTGATCGTCAATGTATTTGAAAGTGACGTTGGATAAAATGGGCGACGATATTTCTTTATGAAAATTGCGCAATTGTAACGATGCGTCTGAAGCTTCGTAAATGACCCTTGCGAAACCGGTGTTGTTCAATGAGAGTTTTTTAAGGAAATCCATATCCGCCCCTTCGCCAAATCCCAAACTAAATATCGGATACCTATAATAATAACAATCAATACTACCATTATACCAAAGGTTGTGATAAATTATGTTTCGGCAACCAGATATCATTTAGTTATGATTATTACGAGAAATGTCTTGTAGTTAGTAGTTACATCGTTGATTATACATCAACATTCAACTCACTTCTCTTCGTTCATTTTGGAAACATATTCAATCAATTTCTGGGGTTCGGTAATCCCTGTGACTGCTTTTCCGTCGGTCAGAAACACAATAATAGGTTTTGGAGTGTTAGCACCACCTTTGAAACGCGTTTCGCCCAATTTGGCGATCGAGTGAGCTTTGGTCAGGGCATCTTCCATATTTGTACCTTGTGAAATAGTACACAATTACAACAGTCACCACAAAACTTTCCAAGTGTTTTTTTTATAGTTTAGTGATTTATCCCTATACTCTTATATCTAGTCTTACTGCCTCCCCATTTCAATTCCTGAATGAATGTTCTGGCATACTGTTTATTCTGCTCGGTTGCCGGAAAAATAAAACGGTTTTCATCCAGTGTCTTCCAACTAACATGATTGTCTATACGCCTGCTGCTATAGTTTTGGTCTCGGCTAAAATCCTTTTTTTGAGTAATGTTTATTGTCCAAACCTGTTATGCGAGATTTTCATTGACAATATAAGTTACAGAAATTATATTAGAAAATATTTTTTATTAGTCGACAATGTAAAACAATGCGTTAATTAATTATAATAAAATATTATCAATGACAACAAATAATTATCACCACTGGTTGTCTTGCAGTATTCTCATATCATATAAATCGATGTGTCGCACGACTTTCTTTTTAGTTGGCCATTCGAGCTCGAAAAACGCGCGTCAAGGGCAAAAATCATGTGATATCTCGATTCATATGAGAATTTTGCAAAAAATACGACTAGAGTGTTTATTTTTACATTCAAGATAATATTCTAAAAATAACTTTAAAAAACCCAGATTTTGAAGTTAAAAAAAAATTTTCAAAAAAATCTTCATTGTGGCATCACAGTGAGTATGCGTATACTAATAACCTCACACACTTCAGAAACACCCTGTATGTAGATAAAAAATTGCACATATACCTGACTGAAATCTGAAAAAAGTATCAACGTGAAAAAATCTTCGGAATGCATTTCTGACAGAATTTGATTCATTGCTTCTTTCACTTGGGGTAATCTCTGTCCATACATGGAGCTACTGACGTCAAGTACAAATATTACGTGAGTCTTTAGTGGTTTCAAATCCGTTGGTGCAAAGAAATGAACAAAATATCCATCGTCAATCTAAAAACCATATATCATAATGGATCAAATCATTGTGATTTAATTAAATAATAAACCTACTTGAATTTGTTTTTGTACATTTAATTCAAATAAATCATAATAATCAGCCTCACCAATACACCAAATATTTGTTATATTTTATTAATTTTATTTACTTAAAACGATTTACAAGAACTTAATTTGTGAACATTTTTTTTTTTTAGAAAATATACAATCTATACCCAAAGGCATGGGTAATAAGAATATGTGCTACATTATATTAAAAAGATTAGGGCGAGGGAAGAAACCATCCAGTGATCGCACTTCCTTTTGCTTAAATATATGTGTAACTATACTTATATATGTTTTTCAATTATTATTATCAAATTTTTTTTTTTTCATTATTCATTAAGAAGATCTCTGCACCAGTTTCTTTTTAAACGCCGTGGAGGGTTTCCAGGAATTGTATAAGTGGCTAGGCCGGATATCAGACAATTTGAGTGACCAGACAGTTAGTTGAAAAAACGTTTGTAATACGTTTTAGCTTCTTCGTGTATAGTTTTCATTTTTAAGTCGGTGTGGAGAGTAAAATTAGAGATATAAGGGGGGGGGCATTGGTGATGGAACGTAAGATTTTATTTTTAACGGTTTGTATTTTGTCGAGATTGGATTTTTTGGCATTACCCCACAGTTGGAGGCCATATGTCCACATAAGCTTAATTAAGGATTTATAAATAAGCAATTTGATATTTAATTTAGTATGTTTGTTAGTTAATAGTATTTTCAGCAACCGGATACGTGAATTTGTGAACATATACTATATATTATCGTATTGACAATTAAATATCAACATTTTATTTGAATATTTTTAGATTGTGCGTTTTTTGGTTTTAATATTCACTAAGTTATGTACTAATGTCAGTCTTGAACTTTCACTGTTTTTTTATTTATATAAAAATATAAACTAAAAATGAATTGTACATTATAATAGTTTAACTACAAATAATATTCGTTGTATAATTAACCCTAATTGATTTCAGAATTTAGAAACTCAATAAAAAATTTTTTTACATTAGTTATTCTATAATGATCAATTTATCATAAATCGGATGATCCATTTTATAAGAAAATTGTATTTTTTATAGTGATCATTAAAAAAAAAAAATGATACACTATGAGTTTTTAATTCTTTATGCCAGTGCTCAATATTTGTTGTAGTACGCTGAGAGAGAAAAATTAATTATTACATACTAAAATTTGATTTGGTGCAGATTTATGATCAACGTCATATTGAACTATGAATTGGCCTTTAACACCTAGTTTTGTACATTTTAACTGCTCCTCAACGCTTGGATTCCATATTATCTTCACTTTGTTTCCTGACTCATAGGTAATTTTTGCCAATTTATTTTCTGTAATACATTATTAATTCATTAAAATAGTATCAAGGTTCATAATTACTAATACTCATGACTTATAAGTTATAAGTAATAAAAAAGAAAAATATTACAAATTAGGTACAATGACTAAGTCTACAATGATAATAATTCATTGTAAAATAATCTTAGTTTTGAATTGTGTTATTACCTACTCAAAAGGCTAAAATTAATCAAAATAAAAACACATTTCATTATTTCCATTTTTTTGTTAATTAAAACTACTAACTAATTACTCGAATATGTTTTTTTTTCTCACTGGGTGGTCGATAAAAAAATATTTTTATCTAGGTACCTACGTATCGAATGGTTAAATAATTATGTAAACGTACTACTAATTTTAGTATCGATTTCATTTGATGTTTTTATGTCTGGTACTTCCAATGTTGTTATGTTTGAAGACTCTTCGATATCTACTATAACTTGTAGGTTTTTAACAACCTATAACAACAATATAATTACAAGACGTGATATAAGGGATTGTCGGAAAATTGGTACGTTTGTTGTGAACGTAGACTATCGGTACGGTTGAAACCAAAGTTTCAAACTATAAAAACAAAAAAAAAACCATCATAAAGCATCTATAAATTAGATAAATACTACATGAAATCGAAGGGAAGTATTCATTAGAAATCCAAAAACAAAAAATATGCTTCACTTTAATACAAACTTCATGAAGTAATTACCAGTTACGTAAATAGATAAATCACAATGGACATTTTTTTAAATACGATAGGGAAGCTATTGTGAATTTATATTTAATTGTGAACTATTGTCAGTTATTTTTGAATATATATTTATTTTTATTTAATTTTTTGAACCACTGAAATTAATATATTTTATAGTACCAATATTCTGCCTATTTCATTTCTTTTGTTCAAAACACAATAACCGTACCAATTTTCCGTTTACAGATATAAGGATTTAAACAGTTGAAATAACAAATTGGTATTTAAGTACTCACTTGTCCTGGTTGTAAGTTTATTATATTTTCATAAATTCCCAATTTCCTGTTTAACAATTGTTCGTAAGTGAGATTAAATGTAACTTTGCTTTCTGCTTCCACGTTTACAGAAACAGTAAACTTATTTGAATCTCTTGCACTATGGACAAATAAATTAGATATTAGTTGAGAAATGATTTTAAATTGTATGGTTACTAGGCTGTACTTACTTTTGCTCGACGTGAGCCGCCGTCTGACCCAAGTAAACAGCAGCAGTGTATTTCTTTTTGGCCTCTTTCTTTTCTTTTACGTAAGCTTCGTATACTTTTTCATTTATTTCCCTAAATCCAAAACCGGATCAATTATTTGGATTTTATAATACAAAAAAATCACACGAATAGAAAATTTACATTAAAAACTTAGAAACAAATGCAGATTCTGGAAGAGTTAAGTAGAACTGTATTTCCTGAGAAGTATTTTTCTTGTTGGCAATGCGGCTTGATACAACAGTCTGAGCATATCTGTACATGATTTTCGAATGGACGACGAAACTGTAAATGTCTCCATTTGCAGGCTGGACCTAAAATAAATATTAAAAAATTGATCGTTTTATTCGTTAATTGTTTTGCTTAGACTAATATATGTACACATTAGACTAATACATAGGTGGCAAAAACAGTCTAACCTCTACGACAATGGGGTTTTCTTCGTCTTGTTCGCTTAAATTATTTTATTAAAAAAAATTCGTTTCTTAACTCTTCTGACAACCTCCTTGTGTTGTAAAACATGTTTGTGAACAGTTTAACGAATATAGTGGTAGATTCAAATATTTTTTCAACTACAATAATATTTTAACACTGTCTATGAATCAGAATTGTTACAGAAAATTGATTTTTATTTTATATAAACTAATAAGTGTATAACTGACTCAGTCCAAAACTATTGTGTGATTATGTTTGTTATTCATCTGTATTTTATCAGTTTTAAATATAGTTAGTCGATTCAATACAAGAGGTTATTATTTTAAATTGTTGTATATCAGCACTCGCAGATCTGGGATTTGAGCATTTATAACTACATTAATGGACTTAATTCTAATTTGCTCAAGAAACAACACCAGATATATTTAATTAGATGTTCTTGCTTTTGTGACTTTACAGCAAACATACCTAAGATATTTCGTTGTTCCGAAACAATTACATTTAATAATAAAAAATATTGCGCAAAATCCGTCATTACTGAATGCAGAGTACATTTTTATTTTAACTATACCGTTCATTGACATGATAATTATAGTGGACACTGGACACTAGTATTTATAAGTTAATAACTATCAAGAGTTGCCTTTAATCTAAATGTTGTATACCTATCATTAGTTGTTATTACATTACATTAAAAGCTTCTGTACGATCGTTATCGCAAGTTGTTCACGGCAAACATTCTATAGTAGTTAATAATATTAACTCCTCACATCCAACACAAACCAAAGTTTGATGAATCGAAAAAAAATGTAACTTACGATCTTTTTAGCACCGGACTGTTCTGCAGGTAACACCAATAACAGCAGAGCACCTACGAAGGTACAAAACGAATACATCGAGACGAATAACATATTTATAATATCGTTACGTTGAACGTTTGACGTCGAATGCACCGGCCTGGTGACTATGTTATATTGTACTGTGTAAGGACAGAACAAGCCACCGAACTCAATGGTTTGTCTTATCATGTTGTATATAATATTGTGCAGGTCAACATTACGTGATCCAACGCAGTTTAAAACCAGCTGCCCCACCATCGATGTCGGCATGTTAAACCAAGATTCGGCAACCTTTTTGATGGCAAGGGCCAAAAAACAAATGTAAATTTGTAACGGGACACAATTTTTGTATAGGAGTGTATCTTATTTTATTACATGCATTTATTATATAAACAAAAATGTATAGTTGAATAAAATTTAGTTAATTTGAGACTTGCGTTCATAACTGTTAAGTATAGGATGGGTTATACATAATGTATATTTTTATATAAATTATGAATTTACTCGAGGGCCACAAAACTTGCTCTGATGGCCACAATGTGGCCCTGGGTGGCCGACCCCTGTTTTAAGAATCTATAATACATTTAAAATCTCAATTATATCCGCCATATAAGAGCATAATTGTGTAAATTCATTGTATGGATTTCTCATGGTTTTTAAACTATCTGCTCAGCTGCTGTGTTAAAGAATCACGATTAACTATAAATTACACATTTGGCACCAATAATTGTATCAAAAGTGTATCATAATATAAATATTAAAATTTGCCTTTGCTAACCTTGGTCTACCTATCCAATGTACAAAATTCTAAATATGTGTCTCACAGAATGAGAATTATAGTACACCAACCGACATTACAAAAACAACATCAACACACGAAAACAACAACAAGGTCGAAGGCCAAATCGTGAGATCACTATTCAATCAACACGATTGATCATCGAATAGTTCAAACAATGTTGCGACATTTAAACTGACAGACGGCAGTTTGTAAATTATTATTTTCACGTATTTACTATGTACAAATTTTATCTGTGAAACTGACAGTACAAATGTGACGAACGAAAATTGTACACTAGTTAAGCGTTTGCAATGGGCATTAAAGTTTTTAAAATAATCAAATTATTATAGAAATAATTTTGTATGAGTGTTGAGTGTTTGATCCTATAGTAGCTTAAAGGTAGACAGCTAGTGATCCAGCCTGATATGCCATACCTTTGATACGCCAACAAATTTACTCAATCATGTCGTAAAAAAATATTATTATCTGCTAAATACTGTGATACGTAAGAAATAGGGTGTTCAGAGAGCACTACATATTATTGGAGTGTTCGAATCACAGAAGAATATACAACTAATATAAAATAGGTGATAAATCCCGAGCAAATTTACTACATAAAAATAGCTAACTTTAACCTTATTTAACTTATCGTACATAATATTTTGACTCACAGACGTTCAAGTGTAATTATTTAAAAAATGCGAGTCCAGTAACAGTTCAGTTACAGTGTTATAAAATAATATATGTAGGCGTTTAATCACGTTTATCGCTGCTAAGAATAGTGATCTATGACCTTTGTCTACGAGATAATTTTACCATGTTCTTCCAATTTAATACCAAATGTTGAAATGTGTACAGTAAAAGTAGCTGTATTACACAGACAGCTCATTAAAATAAATCTACTACAAGTAATATAAAGACCAAACTGTTAAGATTCGAGCCCTTCAACCGTATACGAGAATATGAATAATTCTACTATAGGTTATGATAGTCAAACTCACATCAGACCTTAAAGAGAAACAATTCATGCTTCTTGAAACATAACTTTTCAGATTCTGTTCAAAATTGAAATTAAAATACATAATATATAATAAAAATGATTGGTATTTTATAAAATAATTTTGAAGTACGAATGCCGATCGATTATAAGGGGAATACAAATGTAGGTAATCTCCTACATAGACATCGTGTAACTCCTACGAAAGATAGTGTGAACTCCTACAAAAGATAGTGCTGACTCCTATAAAATATAAAATAAAAAACAAATATTGCAAAAAAGTAAAATTAATTTTTTTTCCAATTTAGTGTCGGCAATAAACGCCAATTTGTTCGGGAATTACCAATACAAAGGAGATTGTTACATTTTATCAATATTGGACAATATTCGATACCATACTATCGTTGATTTATTTTAAACATTTTGAATTGTAAGTGGCGTATAAAATCGTACATAAAGAAAGGTATACCATCTCCCAGGGGCCGATTTAGAAATGTATTGGGGGGGGAGGGGTTAATATCCCCCCTTACCTCCACTGCCATCTCTGCTATAGGTTATATGTCATAATAAATAGCTGGCGCATATATTATTACATTCTATTCAAGTATTTGTATTTCATCAATGAAAATATATTTTTGTGATTATTATTTTCAAATTTTTAAGTTATGATCATTTTTAGCTTTTTGAGCTTCTCTATACCAAAACCATGTATTCAAGTAAAAATGTTGGAGTGTAGAATACCACCTTTTTTCAGTTAAAAATGTTCATGTTAGAGATTACAGTATTTTTGATTTTCAGGTAAAAATTTTAAAAGGTTATTCGTGTAGGAGTTTACAGGCGGGCGATTATAACTGCTCACAAAACTCTATTCCTGAAGCATCTGACTTCAGAAACAATAACCAAATCGAAAAAGATTAATTTACTATTAAATATTTGAGATAGCACAATGAAATTAACGTAAAAAAGAAAAAAATAAGGAAAATTATGGTTTTATTCCTTAATTTTTTAAAATTTTGTTATTTATTAAATTGTATCCTGGAGATTTTTTACACTTCGGGTGTGATTAGTTTCTCGAAAGTGGCAGTGTAAGTAGACTACTTAGGTATGTTTGAATATTTTTAATGTACATATATCACTTAAGGCTTTAAATTCGTATAAGGTTGACAAAATGCAGAGAGATCAATTCCGAATAGATTATCTGTTTCGCTGTCGGTGGTAGCTAAAGTTTTTTGGCTTCAATAATGTAGGATAATGGGTTAGCTGTCACATTTTTCTAGCTTGCTTGCTTGCCATTTTTTGTTAATCAATTATTTTATGTGAGTTTGTTAGTACAATATACACATAACTGGGTGATTTTACTAGTTTGTTGGAATTCGTTGGCGCCAAAGAGTTCGTTATTGTTTCTCGAATGGTTGAAATTAGATATTGAGAGACTTTTTCTATATCATCGAAGGTGGGTAAAAATCGCCTACCGTAACAGGCGATTTTTACCCCCCAGTAAAATTTACAGGGGGGTAAAAATAGCCTGAGGTAAAAATCGCCTATCGTAACAGTCGATTTTTACCCACCTACAGATTTTATTCTGTAGGAGGTCAAAATCGCCTGAGGTAAACATCGCCTAACCTAACAGGCGATTTTTACCCACCAACAAATTTTACCGTGGTGGGTAAAAATCACCTGGGTTAAAAATTGGGTAGCGTAACAATTTATTTTTACTTGCCTAACAAATTTTACCGTAGCTGAGGTAATTTTACTACCTACATAATTGTAGTCTCTTTTATATATAATACTATTTTATAATTACTTTTAAACTAAAATTTTAAAATAATACTGGTAATCCCGATTGTAATCCTGTGTACTGCTCACTTGAAACAGTATACCTTTATTCACGAAAATGTCCCCGATTTCAGATTTGTCCGTGCCCAATATATGCAATACATAATATACTATATCAGTGAATACTGAATATAGGTAGATAAATAAATAAATGTATGTACCTACATATTTTTGTACATAGACTATTTTATATGCATAAGTCCACCTATTAAGGTAGGTATTCATTTTGTATGAATTAATAAACAAAGCGTCTTTGATACACCAAAAATTTTAAAATTAAATAATTATCTAAACCTATTAATTATTGAAGAATACATAAGGGTATGAAATAAAATTAATAAAATAACGAATGATTCTGGCAATTTTTCTTAAAATTTGATTTTAAATATAGGTACTAGCTTACTTTAGCTTACTTGTACACTTGATAACTTAATAAAAATATTTACATTATACAACACCTAGAACCACATCAAAGTGTACATTACCTATGTTTCTAATATAAATGCATCGTTCTGTATGATAAATATATTTTTTTAAATTAAGGTTTTTATTAAAAAGTTGCCATGTATTTGTTGTTGTTGCATAAACATAAATTGATGTTTTTAATAATTGAGCTGCAGCAAAAATTTCAACATCAGTACCCCAAACACCTACAAAAAAATCATTTTTACATTACACAAAATGTTTTTAAAAATAAATATAAAAAATAATTAGTTCTTGATAATTCTATTGCATTTTTGGTTTTGTATTTGGGTAAGTTAGTATAATAAATCTTACCATCATTATCTATTTTATTTTTTTCTAAATAAATGCTAATGTCATCGTCCCCGCCAATATAGTTGTGGATATTTTTATTAGTTTTAACCACCTAGATTAATTTAAAACCAAATCGTACAAAAAAGTGTTATTTAAATAGATACATTTTATTACATAGCATGTTGCATTCATTGCATATTACGTACCTCAGCAATACGTTTACGTATTTCCATATGGTTGTCTTCTATGCCCGTTATCCAGTATGATAATGCCCTATATAGGCAATTACCATCTCCTTTAATCTTTTTTGTTGCTGCTGGTTCGCTTAAAAATTTTCCTCTTCCTTTAAATGTCAGTACTTTAGTTAGGTTTAATTTTAACTGTGCGCATTTTAGAATCTTCCATGGTTTTGCAATTGGATTAAATACCCGACGACGTTTATCAACTACTGAAAGGCTCGTACACACCACGTCATCATCATTATCGACCATATCATTAATTATTTGTTTTTCTTTGTCTTCGTCTAATTCTCCTTCCATTATATTTGTTAGTCCTTTAAGTGTTATTTTTCTAACTTCTTCGACTTTTAACGTATTTAATTTTGTAAATAACCCTCTGTTGAAGTCTTCATTAACTTCTTCATTCATATTTTCATCGTTTTCTCCTCTTAGTTTTTTTACGACATTATTTTTTAAGTCAACTTCATTAGTGTTGGAAGATTCTTTAAAATATTTAAGGTTACTTAAATGTTGTTTTTTGGCTAAAATTTTGTGTTTGGATTTTAATGTACACGTATTTCCTTTATTAATTGATACAATAGTATAAGGTCCTTCCCAAGGTACATATTTCCAGCCACCCTTTCGGTCATCTCTCCTTAAATTTTTTACTAAGACTTTATCATTTTCTTTAAATATATAGCCAGTGTTGTTCCGTTTTGCATATGACAGTCGTTGTCGTTTTTGA